GCTAATCCTGTATTCAAAGATTTATATAAAGATCAAGCTTTTTTTTAGTTTTACAAGAAGTCTATCAATTGATTATCAAATAACAATTGATGCTATAAATGTTCAAAGTATACTAGTAGTCAGAAATAAGATCAAGTATTTTATAATTAAAGAACTCAATATCAAAGAGACAGAACAAGCTTACATCACTAATAAAAAGTATATAATTCCGGATTAATAAAGAGAATATAAAGAATCAAGCTTATTTGGAAAGCAAAAATAAAATGATGATATAAAATCTTCTGCTTGTTATTTGTATAAACAAGAAGGATACTTTTTATGTGATTATAAAGATCTTTCATTCACACAAACTCTGATCCACAAATACTACAAAACCCAACAATGGAGAGTAACATTTAAAAAGACAACCAAAGTGTTATTCTCTAAAAAAAATAACCAAGCTTACTTTGCAGATAGCGAGAGCCTTCTAATTGATCTCGATTTATCAGAAAGCGAAGAAGAATCTGATAACGAAGAGTGTTGTGTATTTAAAGAGCTTGTCTGTAAGATCACCCCTTCTTATTGATATACAGATACTAGTATTTCCTTATACATATCTGATTAACTTTCTCTTTTTAGAAATATTAAGAAAATAAAGAGAAAGACAATAAAAGTCAGTGGGGGAGTTATATACTGTGATCGGATAGGTACTACTGTAATAGAGCTGGAAAATGGGGGTATGGTTTTATTCTCAAAAATGTTGTATATATCGGGATTAGGAATTAATCTCCTTTTTGGCAAGAAGATCTGTGAAGCTGGATTCAAGAACAGGTTTAATTCAGATTGTATATACTTTCGAAAAAATGGAATAAATATTATCAAAGCAAAAATGGATAAAGGAATTTATATGATCTCGGATATTGCAAAAGGATACGAAGATATCACTCTATCGAATATAGAGATTATTAGTAATATTAAGCCAAATAAGATTACTCTAGATACTTCCTCAGATAAGATTAAAAAGGATCTAGAAATTTATTTATTATAATATAAACAATTTAATTATCTTGGTTTAAAGAAAATATGGAATCTTCATAAAGTTATTATATTAGGAAAGCCGATCAAAGTCCTATCCAAAATCCCTGTATACAAAGTTTGTATGCTCATCAAGATGAAGAATCTAATTCCAAAACAACTCAGTTTCTACAAAACAAAAAGACTAGAGCTCATTCATTTTGATATCATTAGCCTATTCCCAAGATTATTACAAGGAAATCACTATTTCCTATTGATTATAGATAGCTGGACAAAAGTAAATTAGATTTTGATTCTAAAAACAAAAGATAAAGCCATACCAAGATTGAAGAAATAAAAAACCGAATTGAAATTCAGTATTGGTGACAAGATAATAATTGCTCGGACTGATAATGCATCAGAGCTAATCTAAGCTGTTAAAAAATGGAATTCTGGGATCCGATCAGAATTAACAATTATAGCATTATCTTATCAGAATGGAGTTACCGAGAGAAATATTAGTATTACTGAAGCCGATATAAGAGCTATACTAAAGGAGTCCGGATTACCACTGGAATTCTGGGATAAAGCTATTAAATATGATATATACTGTAAGAATAAAATAAATATTGAACCAATCATCAACAACAGTGTGATCAGTCTAATCAAAGTGTTCACAGGATCAACCCCGGATATCAGTTATTATAGAATATGGGAAAGCAAGTACTATACATATATCAATCCAAAGATAATCCTAAAGGATTAATGATATAACAAGTTATGAGATACAGCTCGAGAAGATATCTTTGTGAAATACTCGGTTACAACCAATAAACATGTTAGAATATACTTACTAGAACTAGACTATACTGTACAAGCAAACCGAGTGATTATAAACAAATTCAAAAAGGGAGGAGATCTAGACTTGAGAATAAAAAACTCAGTATCAGGTTTTTAAGGTATAGAGAATATTGTTCCTGATAGGAGATCTAGAGGTAAATCTTACAAAGTGTAAAAGAAACCAGAATATCCATTTGATTCATTATAAGATACTGCTATCTCCGAGACTCTAAAGATAATAATCCTTAGTGTATTTAAGATAGACAATATCCAGGAATTCAATAAAGATAGTAAAGGGAATATCATCAAGATCAATTTATTTGAGGACTCAATACTACCTTCAGGAATAATGGAGATAGAGATATCAGATATTGTATCTACAACTCAATCCTCAATCGAAACCCCGATTACATTTATAAATATAAATATTTCTAAAAGATACTCTTTTCGAAAACGCAAGCGAGATGATAATGGATTAGATAAGTATATTCAGAAACTAATCAGAGCAATGATAGCAATGCTTATAGCAGACCCAGATAGAAATGCTATCGAATATGCTATGATCTTTATATCGTTTACACTAAGGATCGATACGAGTATTAAGACAAAACTATTCGAAAACCTGCAAGTAATCTTAGGAAACCTTACAGATGAGAATATAGCCTTTTCTGCAGAACAGATTCTAGAAATCCCTATTTCTATTATATATCATTAAGCAGTCTCGGACTCCAAATATAAAGAAAAATGAAAATAAGCTATTAAAGAAGAAATTAATTCATTGATTGCAAATAGTATTTGGGAAGAGTATATTCTATCGAAAGGAGAGAATCTTGTTTCAACAAAATGGGTATTTACAATAAAGATGAAGGACAATGAGATTGAGAGGTTCAAGGCACGATTAGTAGCAAGAGGTTTTAGTCAAATTCTCGGAAAAGACTACAACAAAACCTTTGCTCCTACAGTACAACTCGATACACTTTGCTTATTCTTAGTAATCATTGCGAAAGAGAATTCGGAATGCTAGTATTTCGATATAAAGAATACTTTTACAAAATCCCATTTCAAAAAGAGATATACCTTGTATTACCTTAGAGACTCAAGGTATCAGATGGATGTGTCTTATATATATTGAGAAGCTTGTATAGCTTTAAACAAGCTGGACAAGATTGGAGTTAACTTTTAAAATCTCAATTAATCAATTGAGGCTTTACTCAAAATCTTGCTAATCTGTGTTTCTATATATACACTACTTGTTAACTTAATTTGCTAGTGTATATTGATGATATAATTGCTTTCTCGATCTCAAAAGATTAATTCAATTAATTTTCTATAATATTCTCATTACACTTCAATATCAAGAATCTGGGGGAGATTAGCAAGATTCTAGGCATTAGGGTTATAAGAGATCAAGCAAACAGATCTCTCATATTGGATTAAGAAGAATATCTGAAAGCTATGCTCACAAAATTCGGAATCTTATATATTTAATACTATACTAAGAAGATACCTGCTATTGATTATTCATACCTACGACCTGCTACAGAAGACAACAAACTGATTGATGTTATTGAATATCAATAAGTCATAGGTAGTCTTATTTATCCAATGGTGTATACAAGACCAGATATCTCCTTTGTGTTAGGCCGATTGTTACAGTATATGGCAAAGCTAGCGAAATGCTATGGAATAGGAGTAAAGAACCTAATGCGATATCTGAAAGCTATGATTACTTAGAACTCAAATACGGCCCGAGGGAGTATAATATCAAATTGTAAAGGAATACAATCTATTAGTAGATACTATAAAAATCTTCACTGATGTAGATTGGGCAAATGATCAGTATAATCGGAAAAATATTTCTGGGGGAGTTGCTATATTCTATAGCGAATCAATATTGTAAGCTAATAAGAAGCAGAATTCAGTAGTGATATTAAGTATTGAGTTCGAATATATATTAATAGCAATATTCATCAAGCAAGGAAGATAATTAGCTCAAGTGTTTAAAGATTTTGGAAAGGCTGAATATGTATCTGCATATGGAGATACTATTCAATTGTTAAATAATAACCAAGGAGCAATTGCTTTAACCAAAAACCCGTATTTATATGAACAATCAAAGCATATCGATATATGCTATCACTTCATTAGGGATCTTATTGAAAAAGAAAAGGTAGTAATTAGTTACATCAATATATTGGATATAATAGCAGATAGGATGATTAAACCCTTAGCAAGAGTAGTATTCGAAAGGTTCAAAAACATGCTAGGATTGAGATAATAGAGGTATGGAAGATTAGGGAGATCAAAGGTGGTAATTCTTATGGGGGAGTGTTAAAAGGAATAGAAGTTACCGGTGCTAAGCATGTGTAGTGATTAGTAATACGGCTCCCTAAACGGGCTAGATTAGATGAACCATAGACAGGCATATTGATCCCCTCATATAATACTATGTGGAGATCAATATGCTTACATGCACAACTAAATAGTCAATCTAGAGGCCTCTTCCACCCAATCTTCTAATAAATTTCAATTTTTGAGATAATTCAAAAAGAAATATATCAATCGATTTCTTGGATTCTAATTAATAATTTAATTACTTTTCTTTTTATTTCATAAATTCCTTTAGGGTTGTGTATTGAATTGAATATTTTTATATATATATAGATATACACTACTAAATTTTAAATACGTTTTTAGCTCAGGCAGAACTCTATTTTTGGGGTTTTGGCCAAATGATTCAAATCGGCCTCGGTATCCGATCTCTTTCGGATTTTATTTTTTGGGTTTGGGATTGATGTTCTATGCTTTTTTTGGGATTCACCGAGAGAGAGAGGTCTAGACTGGAGTGAACTGGAGTGGACAGGAGTTGGGATTTTGTTTAATGGGTGTGAAGGGTACGAAGGGTACGAAGCGAAGGATTTAGGAGGGATTGGTTTTACTGGAGGTTGGTTGTGAGGTTGTTTGGGGATGGGGAGAGAGAGGAGAGGAGGGAGGAAAAGAGAGGATGAAGGGAGGGAGGGGAGGGGAGGGGAGGGGAGGGGATGTGATGGGATGAGTAGCTATCTGATTTTATACAGAGTAGATTGATTGTAAAAGTTAGATGATAGATTGCCCTGAGGAGTAAATGGATGAAACAGATCAATCAATCAATCAATCAATCAATCAAAATGTACTCAGGTCTCTCACTCCGCTGCATCTCCTTCTCACTTCTTATTTATCCAACCATTAGCGTGAGTGTCTCGACTTGGCTATTGGTCGTAATTGAGTGGTTGGGGGGAATGATTATGGATTATGGATATGGATTTCCTAGGGTGGATTGGTATGCACATGACATGGACATGGACGTCATAAGCCATTTATTGGATTTGATTTGTTTGTTGCTGCTTGTTGTTCCGAGTCCGTATAGAAGAAGAGCTTGCATGAACCCTCCTTTTTTCCCTCTTTTTTGGGATCTCATATTTATATACTTACGAGTACATACTCACTTATATACAAACATATATACAAACAGACACATATCTAATATCTGTACTGTACACATTGAATCTCTATCAAGTGAAGAGAGGTATGTTGATATTCTCTCCTCTCAACCTCCCAAGAATTCATTCAATCTGGATGAATGATTGAATGGTGTTGTGTCACTGCTTTAACCCCACCCCACCCACCCCACCCACCTCACCCACCTCACCCACCTCACCCCACCTACACAACATTCGACCGACCCGAAGTTTCCAGAGTCGAAAGACAGAGAGAGAGAGAGATTCCGTTGATATTATTCCTTCCGTCTACTCCTATTCTAAACTAAATACATATTCTTCCATCTCCATCTCCATTTCTTCTGGATTATCCAATCTATCTTAAGAAGCTCTCAACTGACAAGATATCAAAGCCATTCTATTTGCAGACCTTTCGGAGAATTTATTGCTAAAGAGGGAATATAAAGGTATGCGTTTCTCTTTTCTCTCTTGCTGTTGAACTCGTCATTTGGAGATATATCTACAAGAACTTTTTGAAGATTGTCAATACCCATCACTCATCATTCATCATCATCTAAAATTCTTACCTCCATTCTAACTTTATTCTCCATAGTTCCCCCCTAAACCTGATAATCAACAACTCAAATAAAATGCCTCAAGCAACCGAACTCAAAGCATGGAGTGCTCTCCAATCTCATCATGACAATGTCGGCCGTAACTTTGTCCTCAAGGATGAATTCAAAAACGACCCTCAACGATTCGAGAAATTTTCCAAAACCTTCAAGAACACTGCCGACAACTCGGAGATTCTCTTTGATTTCTCCAAGAATTTGATCAATGAAGATACAATCAAGGCATTGGTGGCTGTTGCAAAAGAAGCTGGATTGGAGAAATTGCGCGATGAGATGTTTGCGGGTGAGAAGATCAACTTCACTGAAGATCGTGCTGTTCTTCACGTTGCATTGAGAAATGTGACCAGTGATCCAATCAACGTGGATGGAAAGGATGTTATGCCAGGTGTCAACAAGGAATTGAAGCACATGGAAGAATTCTCGGAACAAATTAGAAGTGGAGAGTGGAAGGGTTACACTGGAAAGCCTTTGACTACCATTATCAACATTGGTATTGGTGGTTCTGATCTGTAAGTTTGGTGGCATACCCAGTGCGTCCATAGCTAATTCGATTATAGTGGTCCAGTTATGGTTACTGAAGCTCTCAAGTACTATGGTGCTAGAGAACAAACCCTTCACTTCGTTTCTAACATTGATGGTACACACATGGCTGAGGCATTGAGAGATTCTGATCCAGAAACTACTCTTTTCTTGGTTGCTTCCAAGACTTTTACTACTGCAGAGACTGTCACCAATGCCAACTCCGCAAAGGAATGGTTCTTGAAGAAGACTGATGGAAAGGGTGACATTGCTAAACACTTTGTTGCTCTCTCTACCAACGAAGCCGAAGTTACCAAGTTTGGTATTGATGCTAAGAACATGTTTGGTTTCGAAAGTTGGGTCGGAGGTAGATACAGTGTTTGGAGTGCAATTGGTTTGAGTGTTGCTATTCACATTGGATTCAAGAATTTCCACGAGTTGTTATCTGGAGCACATGCTATGGATATGCACTTCAAGAACACTCCACTCGAGGAGAACATTCCGGTTATTGCTGGTCTCTTGAGTGTTTGGTATTCTGATTTCTTTGGTGCTCAAACTCATTTGGTTTCTCCGTAAGTTTTTATCCATCTAAGCTCCTCTTGCATATGGCTAATTGAAACACAGTTTCGATCAATACCTCCACAGATTCCCAGCTTACCTTCAACAACTTTCTATGGAATCTAACGGTAAGGCTGTCTCTCGTGATGGAAAGATTGTCAAGTACACAACTGGTCCAATTCTCTTTGGTGAACCAGCTACAAACGCTCAACACTCTTTCTTCCAACTTGTACACCAAGGTACTAAGTTGATCCCAACCGACTTCATCATGGCCGCTGAATCACATAACCCAATCGATAACAACAAGCACCAAAAGATGTTGGCATCAAACTTCTTCGCTCAAGCTGAAGCTCTCATGATTGGAAAAGGAGAAGATGAACTCAAGGCTGAGAACACCCCAGCTGAATTATACAAGCACAAGACATTCTTGGGTAACAGACCAACCACATCAATCCTCGCCCAAAAGATTACCCCAGGTACTCTTGGTGCTTTGATTGTTTACTACGAACATCTTACATTCACTGAGGGAGCTGTCTGGAACATCAACAGTTTCGATCAATGGGGTGTTGAGTTGGGTAAGAGCTTGGCTAAGAAGATTCAAGCCGAGTTGGATGTTAGTGGTAACGTTGGAGAGCATGATAGCAGTACTGGAGGATTGATTGCTGCTTTCAAGAAGAAGTCTAACATCTAAATGAGAACCGGAAGTGATGGGGAAAGGCTATGGGATAATCATGATGTGGTAATCGTGAAATAAAGATGGAAAGGCAAAGGATTTTCTCGATATAGTAAAATGGGGGGAAATAAAAAATAGGATGAGGAGATGAATTTGCATCTGGATATTTGAATGAATATGAATGAATGAATGATGGTTGATTAGTTAAAGATATGATACGGTTATGAAATGAATGAATATGAATATCAATCATTTTTGAAGTATTAAATTTCCCGGTGACTTTGGTAATAAATGAATGAACATTCTTCTCATCCCATCCTGGAAAAAGGTGGGTTGAGTTGAATCTCAAAGATGACAGCGGCCGCTAGCGTAAACTTTATTTTACCTCCTGCATGACAACCCATGCCTAATCAGTAATGGAGGATGCGGATTAATTGGAGAGCTTAACTTTTTTGATGATGCAAAGTGTTCAGTTCTGATCATTTCGTTCAATTTGGTTCAGATCAGATTAGATCATCGCCATTGTCATTGTCATCGTCATTGCGGCCGGTTGTGATTTCGAGGGAATTAATCAATTTTTATGATAATAGCGATTGGGACTTTCTGGTGCGATAGTGATTGATTGGTTGATTGGTTGAGTGGTTGAAGAGGAATTGTTTTTGTGTTTGTGTTTGTATTTGTGGGGTTTGAGTTGGGTTGGGTTGAATTTGATTTGGGTTGGGTTGAATTTGGGTTGACTTTGAGTTGATTTGATTTGATTGGGAAGAGGAGGGAAGGAAAGGATAGGGAATTCTGAGGACGTGAGAGGGTATTTGAAGGGATTTGGGATTTGAGGGAAGGGAATTGAGGGAAAGGAAGGGATTGCGATTGGGATTGGGATCGCGACGGGTACGAGAACGAGAATAAGGATAAGAACGAGAACGAGAATAAGAATAAGAACGAGCTACGAGAATAAGAACGGGCGACGAGAATAAGAACGGGCGACAAGAATAAGAACGGGCGACGAGAATAAGAACGGGCGACGAGTAAGGAATTCGATTTAATATTGAACGGGGGGAGTTGAGATTGAAGGGATTGGGATTGAGAGTGGACTTGAGAGTGGACTTGAGATTGGAATTGGAAGGGAAACGCAAAGCGCAAAGAGCAAAGAGCAAAGAGCAAAGAATACGGGTTGAGATACGGGATTAGTTGAGGCGACGAGGTTACTGGATTGCGAGATTGCGGGATTGCAAAGTTTTTATAAAGGGAGAGATAAGGAAAAGGGAAGAGGGAAGAAACATCGAAAAAACGAACGAAAGAAAGAAAGAAAGAAAGACGAAACGAGAGGAGGAAAGGAAATAACGAGAAAGAATAATAAATATGCGCGTGGTTAATTGGTTGGCGATTGGGATGGGGATTTGGGAGGGGGTGTGTTTTGCGCTGGAGACGGAGAGGGGAGATAAAGGATTGGAAGGGGTGGAGAAGGATGAGGAGAGGTTGCCTTTGCCGAGTTATCATTTTGGGGCGGGGATTGAGGTCGAGTGTATGGAGAGGGATGTGTAAGTTTTGTTTTTCTTCTTTTGTATGATTTGGGTTCTTGGGGAGAGGGAGGAAAGAAGGGGAAGGTGGAGGGTTTGTGCGAGGAGGATTGGAAATTTGAGTGGTAAAGAAAAGGGAAGAGGAGGGAAGTCTTCGGCACACATACAGTTGCAGCGATACGAACGCACGCGATTTGCAGAATGTTATATTAGAATGGGTATTGGAGAGATGGAAAGGGGAAAGGAGAAAAAGAGAAGGAAAGTAGGATATATGATCGACATTCGAGCGCAGCGAGCTTGGGGGTTTGGGGGCTTGCCCCCATGAAGAGAAGCAGAGGATATGAGAAAATAGGAAGAGCAGATGAGAGATTTAGAGAGTGGAGAGAGGAGAGGAAGGTATTGATGGATATGCGAGGGTGAGGATGCGGCTCCGAAATGTGCGCGAATACGAATTATGTGTGTGCCGAAGACTACGGTCGAAATACCGAATGGATTATGAGTAGATTCAAATATATGGATCTCAAGAGCTTTTTGAGGAATTTTGCATGAAGAGAAAGCAAAAGATTGAGGATGAGAATTTAAGAAATAAAAGCTAACTTCTCAATTAGCGATACAGGAGAACATGTTCAACTAGAAGATAATTCTTTGAAATACATACCATTTCCGATATGTAATGAAACGGGAAGACCATTGGAACTAAAATATGGAGTTGAAGAAGGTATATTTTAATTCTCATTTCGTTTTATTAGAACATGGATCACATACTGACTAATTCCTCAAATACAGAACTCAATTGTACAATTCCTTTGATAACAGATCCTTTCTTTCATCTTCTCGAATTTTATATTCATTCCGATGCACCTCTCTCCTGTCGAATTCCTTCTCGACCCGCACCCACTGTTCATCACATGAACAGCTATCCAAATTATAAACAAGAATATATTCCTCTCACCTTCGCTCTCTCAGGAACATTACAACTCTCCCACCTTCATATCTCCACTCACCTAAATGTACTTCTTCATAGCGTCCCAAAACATCATCTTCAAAAACATGATTCGGGTGTAGTCGATAGTGGAGTAGCATATAGTACGAGTCCTTTAAGTCACATCACGGGTCCAGCCGCTCTTACTAAAAAACTTATCATTGGAGATGAGTTACCTCTCAAATTAAGTATTCGTTGGTTTCCAACCCCATTACTCCCGAGAGAAAATGGAAAGGTAGAATGGAATGGGCTAGGGGGTCATGTGAATTGGATGACGATCGGATATGTCATTGTAGCGTTTGGAGCAGGAGCTACGGTGATGGGGGCTTGGATGGTAGGGTGGGAGGTTCCGAGGAGGATGAGGGGGTGGAGTGGAAGGTTGGCGAGGGTGGGGGGGTTGGGAGGCGCGAATAGTAAGGGTTTGGGAGGTGCGACGCCGTTGGGGTATGGGGTTAAGGGGGGTGGGTTTGGAGGAGGTGGTGGTGGAGCGGTGGGGAATGGATGGGGGTTTGTGGGGGTGGGAGTGGGAGGGGGGATGGGAAGAGAGATTAGGAATTTGGGGTTTGGGGAGGGGGGTTAGGGGGAAGGGAAGGGATGGAGAGAGCGCTTGATGGGATGGATTGGGTGGAGTTTATTTGTTTCACACTATGTTGTGATTTATCTGAGAATAGAAGTTGTGGGTTATAGACTTGATTGTTGATGTATGTATGAGGAAGTAGGAGTCCGAATGAGAGAAGAGTTTTAATGGGGATTGGAAAGGAAAGGGAAGGGAAGAAAAAGGAAGGGAAATTAATAAATTATTTCTTTTCCTTTTTTAATTAGGAATAAGAGTGTTTGTTTGATTAGTATACTATAATACTATTATTCTGTAATATTCTACTATTATCTTTCTATATATCTTAATCTATTTTAACTATAAATCTAATTCTAACTCTAAACCTTTTTCTACTTTTATTTTTAGTTTTATTTTATTTTATTTTTATTTTTATTTTATTTTTATTTTTATTTTATTTTTATTTTTATTTTATTTTTATTTTTATTTTTATTTTTATTTTTATTTTTATTTTTATTTTTATTTTTTATTTTATTTTATTTTTATTTTTATTTTATTTTATTTTTATTTTTATTTTTATTTTTTATTTTTTATCTTTATCTTTATCTCTATTCCTAAATATTAGATTTAAATATCTAGATAGATATCAACAGATCTTACTTTTTTATACAGAGTTATAATATGCGATCGTTGATGGGGGCAAGCCCCCAAACCATTGTGGCTCGCTGTGCTCGAGGGGTTGGGTTTAGAAGATGGAGTAGAGTGGAATAGAGTGTTGAGAAAGAGAGAGGGGGAGAGTGTGTATATGATAATGGAATAAATTGGATTAGAAGTTATAAAATGAGAAGGTTATGGAGTAGAGTGGAGTATGGAGGGAAATAGAATAGATGATGGATTGGTTGTTGAGTTTTTTTTTTGGTTTATTGGGGTGGTGAGAGGGGGTCTGGGTGATTTGGTGGTGAGAGGGGGTGAGAGTGGTTGGGTGGGATAGGATAGGATAGGGGTTTGAGAATTGGACTTTAGCAATGAGAGGAGGGCTGGGGTTCTGAGTTGGTATTTGGATTGATATTTTAGTTGGTATTAAAAGAGCTAATTTGATATAAGGGGGAAGGGGGATGTGAATATGAGGATAGGTATAGGTATAGGTATAGGTATAGATATAGATATAACTATAAATAAGATATATAATGAAATATATAGTATAATATATAAGATATAAGATAAAATTATAATATAGGTATTATTCGAATTGAGAGATTGAATAGTATTTGAATTGGGATTAGGAAGAGTTGATCTGGTAAAAAAGAAGGAGAGGGAGTATGAATATAGTGAGTGATAGATGGGAGATAGATAGGATTTGGGTGGGATTTGAGTTATATAGAATAGGATAGAGGGCTGAGAGCGGAATGAATATGAGTAGAATGTGATATGAATAATATATGAGATGCAATATAAATAATAGGTGATATAGAGTATAAATGAGTATAATTAAAAAGAATTTAGATGAAACAAGATTGAAATATAAGTATAATAATAAAATATAATATAGTAGATGATAGTTTAAGTTCTATATATACATATTTATAATATATACTAATCTTAAGCAGAATAATATAAATAAAAATCATATTAAAATAAAATAAATCAGTAATCGGTTTTGAGAAGTAGATAATCTGTAAAGTTAGTCCTAATATTGTATTCGTTCTAGTAATGAGTCTTGGAGCGTAATTTTACAATTTGATCTTAAAATGAAAATTATTTTGTAATTCTATGATTGTTATTATTTATCTAATCTGTTATTGAAAAGAAACGAAGGGAGTAAGAAGGGAGATTATAATCGCATCTAAAAGAAATCTATAAAATAAACTCAGATCCAGAGATACACTAGTTGTTACGTAAGCGGACACAATAGGAGTTGTAAGCTTTACCACTACGCCACACACGCAATCTGTCCAAAAGGCACAGTATCAGGGATTGTTTCCTGATAGCTTACTACTATATATATATCCATATAACACTAGTGATACGAGCAATAAGATCCTCTGTTTTATGTTCTAGGTGGATATTAGTTTGAGTGGTAGAGTAGAAAGAGAGTAGAAAGAAAATTTAATAATGAGAGGGTCTTTTTGAAAGGGAGAGGGGGGTGGGGGGGTGGAGGGAAAGGATTTAATGGGATTTGAGGGACTTGAGGGATTTAGTGGACTTGAAGTATTTAAGATGAGGATTTATGAGTGAGGATGGGCTTTAGCTTTGTTTGGGTTACCTAAGTATTGAGTGATTGAGTGATGTAAACGTGGTGATGTTGTGATTTTTGATATTAGGGGTTTAGTGGAGAGGAGGATCTGGTGGAGGGGTGTTTTGGAGATATGATGTTGAGAGGTGATGTAGAGATGTAAATGAAGATTAGATGGGAGAAATGAGGGGTCAAGAAGAGGAAATCGGAAGGTTTGAGGAGCCCACGGGTCTATATGTATAGAGATCCGAGGGGTTGAAATTAGAAAGTTAGAATGAGCGCGGGGGAGGAGGTAAACAGCTAAATAGGAATGAAGGGCAACTGCAGGTTGAATTGGACTGGATCATTTGGGATGAGGTTGAATGGGATTCGGGATTTGGAAGGATGATGGGATAGAATGAATGGGTTGATTCGATTACTCATAATGAACTTCACATGTGTATTGAGCTCACAAAATCAATCTATCGATGACGATCAATATGTTATGATCATACAATTTGATCTGATGCACGTCTGTGTATGTATGTATATTCTTATATTCAGAATTCTAGAATACTATGTAATCTGATCTGAAATAAACTGATTCAACCTAACCTGGTTGAGGGTAGTTGATCCTAGACTAAAAATCTTCATAACCAATTCGCTTTGAAAAACTGTTCTTTTGGGGTATCATGCGCTGTTTTCGGTGAAATGGGAAATGAAGTTACTTTTGTTGAATTGCTGGAAGGTTGGTTGGCTGCAAGATTGATGGTTGAGACCCCGAGAAGAAAAGATGTTTAGATGTTCTTCTTTCCTTTCTTTGCGGCGGTGGAAGCGGAAACGATACGCCAAAGACGGACGAACATATCGATGGCCATTACGATTGCTGTATAGAGTTAATTTTTATTCTATTATTATTTGTTGAAGGGAGGGGGGGGGGGGTCGGATCTCATCTATTCCATGTTTATAGAAGAAGAGGATACTTACACAACAGAATATAAGGACCATAAAGTTTAGTCAAATCAACCTTTTGATAGCGTGGAATGGGCCAGTAAGCGTATTCATGCATGCAGACGAGGGTGGTGAGGAAAGTTTCGAGGGCGTATGGAAGAAGGATTAGAGGGATGCGGGGAGAATCTAGAGGGAGAGGGTTAGTGTTGTGAGAGCGGGTTCGGAGCGGGGAAGAAGAGGAGAGTAGACGTAGGAAAATGGAAAGGAAAAAGAGAGGAGAAAAGGAAGGGAAGACAATGTTGGTATGTCGGTTGTGGATAGAAGATAAGAGGAAAGAAACTAGACATTCGAATGTCCAAATTTTGAACATTTAAAACAGCAGAAGAAAAATTGGCCTAATTACTCTGATGACGCACAAATATCTTTGTTACACACTTATGTAAATAGACAGCAATACCACATAGTAGCAGGTTTGTCTTGAGCATCCCAAATTTCTCTTTTCCTACTATCTCACCAAACCCAGCCATCACAACCACCCAATGCAAAGCACACACAAAAATAGAAAACAAAAAACATACCTCTCAACAATCCTCCAATAGCCCAAAAACTAACTGGTAAATGAATCAAACATTCCAACCAAACAAATAGATTGAAATAGATGGGTGGTGAAACGAAGAATAAATCGTTGTAATTGGCGATGTGGGAGTTTTTGATGGCGGTCAAGAATGCTGGGGTGAGGGAGGCGGGGTAGAGAGATTGGAGATCCATTACTAGAGGGCAAGAGGAGAGGTTAGTTTGTAGGTTTGAGAATGGGAGACCTGAGGGGAGGTGGTAGAGGGGAGGTGGTAGATTGAAGGGGGAAAAGGGAAAGAGAGGAGAGGAGGAAAGAAGAGCAGAGGAGGAAGATGATGAGAAGACTCTTCTATATTCGAATACTAGTTTAAGAATTGAAGGATTGGGGAAGAAATAGTAGATGAAAAGATATCTCCAAGGTACAATCCTTCAAAACTACCTCGTACTTTCCAGAAAAGAAGAATCATAACTTACAGAACAAAACCGGGATGTGCAAGCAGAAATAGATCAAATAGAGAAGATCCAATTTGCGGTCGACAATTGAAGATGCCATTTTGAGTTGCGTGTAGAGTTGTTGATAGAATAGAAGTGCAAATGTGTAAGTATGTAGCTTTTCTTCAAAAAGAGTCTAGAATCCAATGTGTTGTTCTTTTGGAAGTTTGAAGGATTGAGAATTATCAATTTGATATTCGATCTCGTTGAGTGTTTTAACAGCTCGAGAATTATTGGGGAAATCATCACGCGGGGTGCGGTATAATCACGTGATTTGATTAGTAGTGGAAATGAGGGTCATTCGGTGAAAGATTGGATTTTGGTGAGATTTGTGTGAAACTTCTTTTCTTCCATTTCACCAGAGATGAGTGAATGATTTCGATTGAATGTCAATTCTAATAGTCAATGGATCCGTCCCCTTTCATACAGATTTCATATATGTTACATACAGATTTCATTCCATTTGTATTTCAATCATACAGATCTTATATGAGGTATTGCCCCGCCATTCTCTCGATATTCCTCTACTCTGGCATCATGCGCGAAAGATGGAGCGGACACACTCTTAGTCTAACCGTCGCAAAATTCGACGTAGCGATAAGACGAGGAAACCTCTGAATGGAGTGGACATGGCTCGGAGCCTAGAGCTCTTACAATCTTTCAGTGACATCTATGTTTTATGTTTATTGTACGGAGGGTTTTTCGAGCGATACTGTACGGAGGGTTTTCTTGAGAAATACTGTGGTTCTGGTCAATCAGTTATATATGTCTAAGTTGATATTCAATCATTTTGATAATGAGTTATTTGATTACTATTCTTTTTATTTGGCGTCATTATCCTCCGTCTTTGAATAACCTCAATTAATGATTACTGAACCAACCATATGCAAAATGAGTAATCATGTTGACCAAGATGTTTAGTAAACATTTTTTGACTTCATGGAAAGCATCAATCAGATCAATACCTAGTTAGTTATATTTCAATACAACAGTAAGGTTATCTGGACTTATCTATAAAGTCACAGCTGGCACTGAATATATCAAAATCAATACTCAAAAATATCACACTTCTCTTCTGCTCTCCCCTCAAGCAAACCTTCTACACAACTCAATCCTCAAACACAATGTCATCTCATCAAACTTCAAAAATCTTCATCATTGGTGGTACAGGTGCTCAAGGCATTCCTGTCATCAAATCTCTCGTTGCCGATAAAAAGTATCAAGTGCGAGTTCTTACCCGCGACACCACATCCACTCGAGCTCAACAACTTCTCGCTTTTGGAAATGTAGAACTCTTCGAAGGTACCTTTGCCGATGAAGAGATTCTGCGTGCCGGTTACAAAGGTTGCGATGGAGCATTTGTTAACATTGATGGATTCAACACGGGAGAAAAAACCGAAATGTTTTGGGCCATTCGTTCTTATGAAATTGCTATTCAGGAGGGCATTAAATTCTTCGTCTATGGAAATCTTGACTATGGCTTGAAGAAAGGTGGATGGCAGGAAAAATATCATGTTGGTCATTATGATGGGAAAGGAAGAATCGGTGAATGGATCTTGTGGCAAAATCAAAGTAACCCCAACGGAATGGGAGCCGCATTGTTTACCACGGGTCCGTATATCGAAATGGCCATTTCGGAACTTACAGTCATGACACCTAGTGTAGAGAATGGTATTGTAACATGGAGAGTTCCATTGGGAGATGGCGCAGTACCTCACGTGAGTTTGGAAGATTGCGGACCCTATGTTCGATGGTTATTCGATCATCCAGAGCGTAGTAATGGTATGGATCTCCTTGTCGCCATTGCCAATATCCCATACTCTGAGATGGCCACGGCGTTTGAGAAGGTCACGGGTCATCCGGCGCAATATATCGATACCGAATTCGATGCGTATTTTCAAAGATGGGGAGCACTGGCTGACACGCCAGCGGGATTTAATGCGGATCCAAAGGATAAGGCAACAATGAGTTTTAGAAGAAATTTCACGGGTTGGTGGATGCAGTTTAGAGATGAAGTGTTGGAGAGAGATTATAAGTTGTTGGATGAGATTCACCCGGGAAGAATGAGAAGCGCGGAGGATTTCTTTAGGAGACAGGAGGAAAATTTGAGAAAGGAATCAGGAGGAAAGACTGGGTTGTGGGAGAGTGTGCAGAAGGAGAATATGAAGTATATTTTGAAGTTATCAGAGGATGGGAGAAAGGGTAAACTTTGAGGGAGGTGGTTGATCAAGCGTGGGCTTTTGCGATTATTTGGAAGACTTTGGTTTCGGGAACTGTTGCAGTACTTTGTTTATGAGTTATTGATTGAGCGATTGGAATCACATATGAGAGGAGGAATAGTATGTGTTCTGTGAAATATCACTACTTCTAGTTCTGGAATATTTACAGTATAAGTCTGATGTATCATCTCTTCAAAATCTCTGGCCTCTGGATCATCCACATTCAAAAATTTACATAAACACACATCCCATCACATCATACGTCCCTTTTCCCCTAGTAATCCCAAATAGCATGAATGATTGTACTAATTGTATTTTATTGTATTGTATCACTCTGTATACTATACTATATTTCCTAAACTAACTAACTAACGAACTAACCAACTAATTCGCTACAACAAGTCAAAATAACGAAACTTTCGCTTGAATAAAATAACATCAACACAACAACATTGATAATGAGACTTTCAAATCGAAACAAAAAACAAAAAATAAATAAACAAACGATAGAATAAAAATGTTTGAACATCCCTTGAGATAAATCGTTGAATTGTTTGTGTTATCCCGGCCCGGTGGTATGCCCTGTGATACGATGGCATGGTAAGATGTGGAGGGTTGATGATCTCGTAATTCCCTCGCACACTTCGTGTATTCATTACATGCGACATTGTGATTGGATTCCAGAAGAACATCGCTACTGTTTCTTTCCCTGGCCTTGCTTTCCCACCTCCAATATAAATCTCCATCTCAATCTCAATTCCCCCCCTCTCCCCCCCTTACCTCCACCCCCCTCCCAAACCTAAACATTCGTAATGGGCGTCCACCACCCGGGCTGCCCCACACAATTAGGATTCGCACAGCAGACCGGCGTCGCCTTCCCATCACCATTCGGCTTATTTCCAATCGGCATCGTGGAGCAATCGTCGGAATATGGATGCGGGATTGCGGTGTTGTTTTTGCAGAGGGTGCCGCCGGTGCCGAGGTTGCGTTCGCAGCAGAAGAAGTTGCACTGGGGGGGTTAGAAGGAGGGAGAGAGGAGGGGGTGGAAAGGAAGGAGGAGAGGGGGATAAGTAAGATCTTACATTTCCTTGGACGCCGCCGCCGCCGTTCATAGGTGGTCCTTGGGGGATGGAGAGAACGAGGGTGCTGAGGAGGGTGGTGGTGAGGAGGGCTTGGGTTGAGAAGTGCATTTTTATTGATATTCTTTTTTGGGATTGGAACTTTGGTTTGGGGAGTTGGGGAGTTGGATACTATTGAATAGTATATATGATCTTGTATGAGAATTAATCTAATTCTATCTGAATGATGTGATTTTTGTTTAAATGATGCGAAGGAAGGAGGGATACATATATATATATATATATGTATCTTCTTTTCTGTCCTTTTCCTTCTTTCTCATCAAAACTCTTCTCATCGGTTCATTCTCCCTTGCCCCAAAATCCTACACATTCCACTCCTACCATCCCATCGACACAACCACCCAACTTTCGCATTGCATCTCCCAAAAACACCAGACCCAGACCGACCCAGCCAGACGCAGATACAACACATGTTTGTCCCACATTCCGCGGCGAAAACCGAGAGTGATATTTTTCTTTCGGGTCAGATGAGGAAGTGTTTCTATTTCGCGCAGGCGAGGAATGCTACGGAATGTGGACACGATCTATATGAAAATTGAGCGCGCAGAAATGTGCATGATGGGATTCTAGAATATGAAAGATTCGATATCCTTGATTTTGGGAGAGGGGTTGCATTTACATTTCAAATGTATGGGGAAAATAAAGGGTACCAACGGCTCGGGTAAGTTGATCATATCGCTTTTTCTGGATTGATTGATTGATTGATTGATCGGTGTGGAATTTTTGAGACATGTGGGGAAATATGGAAGGGATCAGGAGATTTGGGATGTCATTTGTTCTTTTTTGTATTTTGGGGAGGGTCTGGATCGGGGTTTCTCGATCTTTCATTTCTCGTTCTTGATGTGTATGTGTATGTGGAGGAGAATGGTCTGTCCAGCTGGTTTTCTACTCGACTTGGTGATTACCGCTTTTTGATTATGGAGATCGGGAATATCCCATGATGATATTGATACTGCGAGGATGGATTCTCGTGGGGATAGTCTGTGTGATGGTTGGATTTCATTTGTATTCAACTTGTTGTCTCTTTATGGATAGGATTTTCGTTTATTTTTCTCTAGATACCTATTTTGAGTTCCTTTGAAATTCAACTTGCCAGCTTCATTATTACTACAACTTCCTTGTTGGGAAAATATCTTTTACCGTTAAAAATTACCCCGTCCTGTCATTGTAAGATTACCTTCATCCTCAATAGATCTTCTTTATCTTTGAAACCTCCTTTTGAACTCCCCCATTAACATCTACCAAATTACCCCCTCCCCACCACGACGGCTTCTTGACTCTCGCAAATATCATGTCATTTGAAACTTTTTACCAGTATCCCTTCCATGGCTTTCCATACTCTCACAATCTCACAGGCCGCCAATAACCTCTCTCATCCTCCATCTACCCCTTTCTCATATTCCCCAACTCATCTTTCTTAAAAAAGAACCTTTTATTCCATCCCAGAGCACCATACCAACATATATTCCCGCACCCCCATAACCTATTTACCTAACTGTATCATTATCCAAACACCCATCCTCGAACCATCCTGCTCATAACCAACTCACAAAAACTCTACAATTCCAAACAGCTTAGTCAATCCATACTCATACCTCAGATATCACAGCCGTACACTATGTATAAATAAATAGACGAATAAATAAATAAACCATCACAAACCACAAAGAAAAACGATTATACACTCAATCCACAACATATCGTATTTAACACACCTCTGTATAAAAACACTCTCTGACATGTAAACAAAACATCCATCATCCAACTTCAGACTAACTTATAAATCACTCGCTCCGTCTAAGCTAAACCAATTTGGTAAAATTACCGAGGTGGGTCGGTAAAGTGTTAATGTGATATCATCACTTTAAGATTTATGTCGAATGGATGGAAAAAATAGAGTGAGATGGTGACATGGTTATTGGGGATTTGGGATTTATCTACAAGTGAATATGATAATTTGTGAAGTATGATGGGTGTTGATCCGATTGTCCTATGATTTATCCAGGGAGATACTTGTAGCTAGATTGTGAGTTGAAAAAACCCCCCCAAATTGATTTTTCCCGGCGTTGAGTGCTCGCATCAGAATTATTGAGACGGCAGTCATCATGGGCGTATGATTCAGTTATTATGAGATAATTAAAAAATGACAAAGGAGAAAGCAAAGGTGTTTTGGTTTGTATCTTGAGCATTCTGATTATCATTGAGCTGAGGAATAGAAAAGAGTTGTCATTATCCCAGTCAAGTCAACTTAAAATTCGGAAATAGATATGGATTAGATTGACTTTAAAATTCAATCTATCACATCTCCTAGGTATCATTGACGTGTTCGTTAGCCGCAGCGTTACATGATTGAGGTAGTTATTCACTTTAATATCTGAATTACTAAGAGTGCACCTTGAGCATGATATAACTCTGCATCCTGAGATATATCACCGCTAATTTTCAATTATCTACATATCGAGCTGTCGAAAATTTTATGAGATATTTGGAGTCTAGAAAGCATCTCATGTACAGAATCCTTTGATCTCTCTGTAGATGACATAATATCAAGCAGGCTGACCGGGAATGAGATCCACTTCATCAGTATCGTCCATATCATTATCCGTTGATATATCATCCTCATCCATAGGATCATATTCATCCACCTCAATATCCTTTGTGGCCATAACCTTACCAAACAAGTCTGATGAAATCTTTCTCATCCTCTTAATCATATCATCCAGTGTCGATGTCCACGATTCGCAACGCTTGTTGTCTTCCCCATTCAACAGAAATATCAGTGTTTGTATCTTAGCTTCGATCTTATTAATCGTATCGAATGCGTCTGCAGTCTCTCCAGTTAATATACTTGTAGCCAACTTTATAATATTCGCGCAAGTCCTGCAATACCGGGAACTTTTCCATCGAGTTTCCAAGACTTCCACCCCTTGAGAAATCACCTGTTTCATAAACTCAGGTTCAGTATGGAATTGGTCGTAGGCGTTCATGATGATTGTAATCTCTCCAAATTCCTCATATTCCATTGCATATTTTTCGTTTCTTGCATCGGCAGGCGAATATAACATTTGTCGCAAAAATTCTAGCTTTCATCTATATCTTCATAATCTTGAGATAACTCATCCGTCCAGTATTCGTGAGCGATCTGTCTGGCAAATCCTCTAAATCCTTGGTTGAACAGCAATAAATGATCTTTAATCTCGATGGGAGCATCTCCAGAAATCGCCATTTGAAAATAAGTGTTAACCGCTGCACGATGAGCCATTGTAGCACCCATAAGCATATTATATTGAGTCTGCATGGATGTCTTGATGATCTCCAACGGATCTAGCTGTCTTATTTCCTGTTCTGGAATAGAATAGTTTTCCGAAGTAATAGCTTTAAGTCTGTCCTTCAGACTTTTATTGAAATCGACAATAGCCTTCACTTGTTTGGATTGTTCTGAGCTTTCGATGAAAAACTCTTCATTCAATTCTGCTCTTTTAATTAAATCATCCCCAGCTTTGCAAGCTCGTCTTTCATCTGGACTCATATCCTGCTTTGATTTTAAAGTTAAATGCCTAGCTTTCCACTCAAAGTGTTCAACTTCGCCATCATCCGCACATAGTACATAGGTTTCAGGGAAATGCGGAAGTTGAGTAACCTGCATCCTCACCTTATTGGATCTAAGGCCAAGCATCTTAGTGCCAAATGCCCTGACAGTATGAAGCCAGAAAGTCATCTGGTGAACGTCTTCAAAATGAGTTACTGGTATCGGGTAAAAATTGTATCGAGGATTGAGAGCGGGTGTTTTTAACATAAAGTTAGACGTATAGCTCGCCCAATAAACCGTTGGCCACTCGGTCCAGAAAAGAGCGATTGTAGGGTACAAAGAGCCCTTTGGATTCCGCTCCCCACGAGTAACACCACCGAGAGCAACCTGCTCCATCAAAAAGCCGCACTCTTGAATCGAGTGATTCTCATAATATGGCTTGGCTAATTAGCAATGAGGGAATCCTTGAGATGTCCCAGTGACTTACCTCCGAGCCCAAGTTCCAAGTTGACAGAGTTTTATGTTTTCTTGCCCGAATAAAGTCGCTTATATTGAACATTGCATGAAAACTAAAGACGGGCATTAGAATATGTAATCAAAGTATAGAGGAGGTATCGCTTGCCATTCATGAGTGAGTGTGACGGCCACTCTCCATTGATATGCCAGCTTTTCAGAAGCTGTGATGTCAGGTCGTAGTAAAGGCTCGAGGTTGGTGTGATTTAAAATAATATGACAGTGAAGAAGTGGTGGACCATCTGGAATTCTCTGCAATCCACACTTGGTACAGCCATTGAAAGAAATCGTCTCGGAAACGTCTATGAATTTAAAGAAAACAAAACTTGACAGTGCATGTAAGAGCATCTTCTTGCTCTTCTGGAGAGCTGGATTATCTGGATTTAATCCTCTCGGCTTGGTAGAAAAAAGCGCCTTTACGAATTTTGGTGTGGCGTGCTCTGGTAGATTTTCAGGAATTCTTTCAGGATCGATTGGGATTCGTGTGCCACACAATAAAGTATCATACTATATATCATTTATTAGATAATTCGAAATCGGGTTTAAGTAAATTTACCAAGTCATTCTGAATGTTTATTAACAACATTGAGGCAAGTTGAAGAGTTGGTTGTAATAATTCCCACACAACATCATTTTTGGCAAACCACTTCCCGGGTCCTAATTGACCAAGAGCATGCGGCTCGTCATTTGTTTTCCATCGGTCTCTTACAAAGCAGGGGAGTAATGGAATGTTCAAATCGCTTGCTTTCAAAGATCTTGTCGATGTTATATTCGCATCCAAATCAAGCAATTGCTTTGCTGTGAAGTTATAAGACGCATTCCTCTGTTGCTGTTCTCTTCGTAATGTACTCGCATCGACTTTCCCAACTCCGTCTCTTGTAATGTGCGGCACGATTGGCGTTAATCCGCTGTGTCCTATCGTTTGGCTGTCCCGGGAAAGGGCCATATTTCTCTTTGAGTACCGTGTCAGGCTCCCGTTTAGAAGCTACAGGTCTACGAGAAGAGGAAGATGATTTCCCACCACGTCGGTTTGACATGACTTTGAGCAAGTTCGATATCGAGAAGTGCTATCTAGTATTTTGATAAGTGACCGGATATTGAGTGTATCCATCCTGTGTTTCATGTGGATGATTGAGTCTTTGCACAGTTCTGTCAAAGGAACAAATTGCTCAAAACTTTTGACAAAGGAAATCAACTGAAAGACACAAGACAAAAGAACTTGTAAAGAAAGAGAGAAGAAAGAAGAGCAGATAGGCATCATGAAGAGCTTAACTCCAAAAATTATTGAACGTCAATATAGTTAATTTATTATATCAAACAACACTATATGATTGCCTCAAAGATTGACAGATCGAGTATATATGATCTGAAAGTTAGACTCACAATCTTGTCTTCACTTAGGTATTTCTGTTGATAACCTGTCAGAGGAAAGGAATGCGAAATTTCTTGGCTGTAATGCAAATAGAGTTGATTAGTCATCACATCCCGTGAGGTATCGAGGATGGATTGCTAACTTGATGTGGTTTGAATTTGACGCGGTTAGAGCTTCCGAAGATCTGGTTAAGATCAGGCCCAAGACAGACAATATCATGATCATGGTGTAATTGTATGCCATCAACATCCCCTAACACTCAGCACACATGTCCAACTCCGATGTTTCCGCTTGAAACTTATGGATTCTATAGTCTAAGGGTGATTGAGCAATGGGGATCTTGAGTAGCTTTGGTTATTCCAATTTCCATTTTGAGGTTAGTGCTGTTTTTGATATCAACTTTGAACAATCGATATCAGTTGGTATCCTAGATAGGTGAGGTTGTTTCGCGTTCTTCGTAGGTTCCGTGACTACATGTTCCGTGACTACATGTTCCGTGACTATATGTTCCGTGGCTGCATGTTCCGTGACTACATGTACAAAGAAATGGTTACGCATCTCACGATATAACAAGGAAATACTGAATCAAACAAGTGATTTCTATAATGATCTCCCAGTTCAACCAATACAAGTGTCTACCTAATATATTGCACAAATCAATACTAACATCCCCGATATCTCACTCAACGGTTTTTTCTGCACCTTTGGCGAGGTAATAGATAAATCTCATCTGTCACCCACAACATTTTTCTTTCGCTCCTTTCTTTGAAAGTACCGCAAAGAAAACCCAGTGCCTTCTTGTCAATCACTCACTCATCTCCTCTCAAAATGAAACTTTCACCACGGGATGGGTCTTAACCATCATAACCACCGTCACAATCGCCACTCGTATTATTGATATGATCGATCCCTCAAACACTATGAAAGAGTTCAGTATCAATAGTCCTGAGGCTGTACGATTAATTTTTAAGATTTCTTCACTTATTCCTTGTCTCTTGGTTTTCAATTTCATACCCCGCCCTCCGCCCCTTTTCAAACAATCCTCCCTAACATCAACAGCCTTTCTCCTCATCTTAATAAATCTCTACGAGCTTATAGCTGCTTTTAAAGATAATTCGGCGGTATATAAGTTCGGAATTGTTTCGCGATTGGCGGCAGCGGGTGTATTTTGGAGTTTTGGGGGTGAATGGGTGAATGGGTGAAGGTTGTTTTTGTGGAGTTGGGAACTTTGGTGTTATTAGCGGGGGCTATGGGATTTGCTTGAGGAACACACAGCTTGGTAATGATGCTAGATGGGGGAGATAAGTCAAGGGAGGGGGTGAGGGAGTAGGGGGGCGAAGCTAGAGTGCCAAGAAGTAAAGAGGGTGGGAGGAGGGCTGCTGGAGTTGAGATTTTGTGGCGTGGTAAGTTGAAGCGAGAGACTCAGACCTTCTCAAATTAATAGAGGAGTCATTTGTAGATATGAAGTGCACAATTAATCATATAACAACACACTATTTTGTAAAGTCACGCATTCAATTCAACTAATTGTCGAATCTACTAAATCCATCACATATCAACAAGTTGTATGTGGCCAAACCGATTACCACCCCCCGGATACGATACCATATTTTTATTTCCATCCTTCCAGTTCCTTTGCTCCATCTCCATCTCCATTTCCGCCAAAACCAGTCCCAATCTCTCGCCATAATGACACCCACCCGTACCATTCCTCGAGAAATTTACTCCGCCGGGTTAATTACGACCATTCCATGTACCTGTTCGGGTGTTCTGGCCATGCGTACTGGCGTTGTTCCAGCTAGAATTATCACGTTGAGCTCCTGGGTTTGACTGACGTGATGCATTACCACTGGATGTTCCAGCACCAGAGCCACTAGATGCTTGCCGAGCGGAAGAGGTGTTCTGACCACCAACTAACTTGATATCAGTAATGTTCCATGAGATAAATGTGAGTGAAATACCACTTGTGCCATTTCCATATCGTGGATTGAAGGTAAGATCAAAGCCACTCGTGCTACCATCTGCTTGAGGATCACTGGGCACATGAAAGTGCTTTGCTGATTTTCCCCAAACGTTACGTGGTGCATGTGCAAGACATCTATCAGGATGTTGCCCCAACTCCCGAGCTTCGCCTGCAATCCTTCTAAAGGATTGTTGCATATCTTCACCTGGGAGACGAATGGTAGAAAATTTTCGTCCTGAGCTTTGTTCTCATCGTTGCTGTTATTTTGGTTTGACATAGTGTATTGTTTTGATGTTCTTAGAAAGTTATGGTATTGATTTGTGGATGTTGATAATGAAAGGAAGAAGAATAAAATGCAAGAGCTGGGGGATTTGGAACGCTTAAGTAAAACTTTCCCAGCACCCATGACTGCATTAAAATTCTGGGTATTGTCATATGAATATATTTTTTGTAGATATGACATTCACGATTATTCATACAATGACACATTATCTTACAAAGTCACGCGTTCCATTTGACTAGTTCTCGAATCTACCAAGCACATCGTATATCGACCAAAGACTAAGTAATCAGGAGCAATTACTAGTAGCCTGGAAGCCATATCCTCATTTCCTTCATTTGGCTTGACTTTTTCTAATTTAACAGCTTTCGGTTATCTTCTATTCCTAGTCTCTTCCCATCCTCTTGAAGAATAACTCCATTCTACATTTTTCGTGCCCGGTTTGACACTAGAGCCGTTTTTCTCTATGTCTCTTTGCCATTTTTCATGACCATCTATTATATCAGCGCCTTCAATTGAGTTATGATCTTCCTCCTCTGAAAATTTCCAGGGCTCTCCATTGTCATCCCACGAAGCAATTTGCGAAATCAGCAAGTCACTCTCCGCTTTTCCCCAGGTATTATCTTGAGAACCAGAGTGGAATGATCCGGGCTGAGTAAAAGCGGGATGAGGGGATACTAGTTGATATCAGTACGAATAAATGAGAGAAATTGGGAAGTACATACTGCCTGTGATAAACGTCTTCTGTGAGGTTTGTGCTCCGGCTGGCGAATTCATCGATGACCCATAAGCGGAAGTTTGCTTGTTTATCTTCGGCTCCTGAGGGGGAGGTTGCCCAAATAAAGGAACAGGCGGTTTAACACGAGAACGTTGCTTTCTACTGCGTTCAAATTGTTCCTTGCTTGCAGTTCCACCTGTTCTTCTGTACTCTTGATATCGACGTTCTTTGAAAGCGTTGTAATCCTCAACATCTTGCAACCCTTTGATTTGCATAGGCTCGTATCGATTGTCAGTCTTTTTCTCAGGAACAAGAAGTGAATGTTTCAAGACTGGTTTCTTCCTTATTTGATTTGGCTTTGATGACATGTTATATTAAGGTTGACAGTGAAGATTGATGTTGACAGAAGAAAAAAGCATCATACCAAGAGTTGGGCATTCTGAACCCTTGAGTGAAAATTTCCCAGCATCCATGACTGTGTTAAAATTGTCGGCATTATCATTTGAGTGTTCCAAAAACAACATTTTTGACTATTCCGACGCAAAATTTGGAATGAATCATGATCCATGGATCTAGCAATGATTCGAAAACATGACTCCAAATATCTGACTCGCATGTTGACACAGAGGCCTTGGATTCGAGGTTGTCTGGATATTCACTGATAATTCATGCATGCTTGAGAAAGTAGAGAGAGCTGATACAGGGTAGACAGAACTTATTGTGAAATAATCACTTGAGAAAGGAACAATCATCCTTCGGCTGCTCAACTCGTTTGGCACAGTGGTAATTGGCTCCTCATAAATATTTGGAAGAAACACAACTCAATGCTCAAGTGAGCTCGGAGAATGATGACTTAATATCCAATTCCATGGCAAGTATCAAAAAGCGACATTCATAAGATTTGAAATGGTGATGAAAGTTAGGGCAAGATTAGTGTTTATGTTAGAGATAGATGAAGAAAAATTCAGAACAGATGGAGTAAAGATAGACGGCAACCAAATACCCCATCTTGCTTGAAATCTGAAGAATATCTTCCAGTTCCCCAAGGAAAATTCCACTAGTAGACTGATTTCTCAGAATAACATAAATCCACGAATAAAGATATCGCTTGCTTGAGATCGTACCACAACTAGTGGCTAGTTTCTGATAAACACATACCAAATTGCGTCCCCTCTTCATGGCTGGATCATTTTTTTTCCGACCTGATAAATTTTAGATCTTTATCTATACACTTTACATTTAACTTGGGAGTCTTAGCTCCATAATTATTAAAATTTGAGTAAAATGACTTTCGAAAAATTTGACAATAAAATGATTCAATATCGCTGATCATGAGGATGAGATAACGGGTTGAGAGTGCCAATGATTATGAAGGCGTGAGTTGAGGCTCACTAAGCTAGTTGCGGTAGCTTTGTATGTGTTAATCTATGTTGATAGAATTTGTGTGCTCATGAATACCTGGAAGTGCTGATCAGGGATCTCAAGGTAATAATGTTTGGTAGAGAAGGTGAGAGCAGAGCGGTTATGATGATTGAAGAGCATTGAAATTTGAAATATCTAACACTTGTGTAAAGTAAATTTATGAGTCGCAATAATCATCCCAAATTTATTCTCGGTATCTACTCATTTTTGGATTTATTTGTAGAACCTCCCCAGTTTGAAGAGAAGCATAAGCAGAAATAATATTATTTACCCCGCTGATAACATTTCGAAGGTCTAATCGTAACTCAAAATTCGGCATTCCAAGTTTATGAAGTCTGTATCCAGAAGAGTATCTAACATACGAAATGTGCACACAAGGATGGGCTTGACAGCATGTCCTGTACCCCCTTTCTTCGCAATCCGAAGCAGACGAGCAACCACAACGACAAATTCTCCAATTTTTTCCCTGATAATCACCTCAAACTTGTTAAACCATGCAGGGAGGAGTCTTTCATCTTCATTTTCACAATGTCGGTCTCCATCAAATCTATAGCAACTCTAGTAGCCGGCGCTTGGCAAATGCAACGACGCCATAGAGGTAGCAATTATACATCGAAGATTTTGAGAGTTTTCTTCGTCGCCTCTATACTTCTATTATATTCCCACTGATAATACTCTATCAGAGTAGGACATCTCCTACTACGTAATCGTGGACAAATGATCAAATCCTTGGGGTTTTTCCATTTCCCATCGAAACGAAATGATACTCTGGGGCTTTATCTTTTAGACCTATATGGGGATCGACTAATACTTCGCACTCTAATTCTATGAGGACCATCGTGAAAAATAGTAGCGCTGTTTCTAATTGGCTCAAGTTTGCTGGAGTAGCTGTGATAGTCCGCCTAGTAGCATACATGCCGGGAAATTGCCATAAACTGGATGAGTTTTCATCGTGATGTTCGAACCGTAGGATATGTCCGTCTGTGATGTAGTGTAGTTCGACGGTTCTAACTAACAATTCTTCATCCTCCATCCTTATGGATATGACGGCTCTTAACTGAAATCACAAATTATCAAAATGACTAATGTCTCAATGAAGTCGTCTCGCCCAACTTACTTCTACCGTGTGCAAGGAATCCGACATCTTTTGTCGCACAATCGATATTTCCCACGCGGCTTTCTCGTCATCGGGATGATTCCTCTTAATTTGGCATACAAATAATGAGCATCGGCGATTGAGAAATTGTTGCAGATATCGAGGGTCTTTTAACCAAAGAAAAGTGACGACCGCATCGAGTGGCGCCATGGTCTTTCGAGATAAATATACGTCTGGCCGACTTCCCACATACTTCTTGACGTCAACAACATGAGGCGATGGCTCTAAAGTTTTGAGTGGGAGTTCCGAAACGTTTAGCGGACAATAAGGCATGGTAGTAATGTTTAACTATAGAACTAGGAATAGATTGATATGTGACGTATGATAAGCCTGTTTTTGAATAATCCAGAGGAATGATCCAATTGACAAAAAGAAAAAACAATGGGTGAGAACAAAATGTTCGATGAGAAACCGAGTATTGTCAGTATTTCTTTCCGCATCGGTGCACGAGTTGCAAGCTTGCGATCAATCATCTCGAGGAAAGTACCATCCCCTGGATCATGCAGCCTTACAACTCCAGTTTTCTGGCGCATTGACATCACCTGTGCCACCATATACAGCCTTACTTGGATACGCACACAGAGGCCTTTGTCGCAATACAACACCATCGGGGTTCGTGTCATTCACGTATTTTGTAGCGATAATATCAGTCGGCACGGTATCACTTTCTTTCCATGCCATTACAGCGAGCATGACATTGTGTTTAGCGTCTTGAAAACCCAATCAGCCCCTCCACTTTCATGGCCAGTATCAGTGGAGACGGATGCGAATCCATACCACATGCCACACACTCAATGATTATGCACTGCATATTGGAACGACCAAAGAAGGAAAGAGGTGTGAAGAGGCACTTGCCTTTCGAAGCAGGTACATCTTTTCCCCTGTGGAGATCTTCACGCGTATCTACGAGGACATTATCAGTGTGCTCAATGAACTCCGCCCCACAGAAATTACATCGCGTGAAGTGAGGAATACCTGACGCGGATTACCTACGAGAAAGAAGTTGAGAGCCGAACAGAGTCTTGGGCTTCAATGAAGTGACAGCAGGTGAAGAATACAATTGGCGTCGGTAGGTACGTATACGTCCAGCAAACGTAAGCAATGCACGTATCTCTATTCACGTGACCCCAACTCTTTTGCTTTTCAGAAAATCTAAAAAATCTTTTTTAGATGCGCAACAAAACGATGTCAAGTACAAAGACACGTGATCACGGGGCGTAATTGGGCAAAATCTTCCATCTTCCCAACATGCCGTTCATCTTATGTCAGCAAAACAAGCAGGCGTCTTTAAACCCCAATATTAATGAGTATCTTAGAGACTACCTAGTCACTAAGAACTTATCACCTCTGTCACTCCATAGTTATGCGACTAGCAGTCATATTTACTCGGCGGTGATCATTCAATTAGTTACAATATTTTCTACTTTAAGGTTAACTCGAATGCCAATAAATCTATGATGTGATAGCCGAGTCCTGAAAATCTCACTGGTCCAATAAGGATACACCTGATTTTGGGACCAGAAATTATAAGAGTTATAGCATATCCTTATAGAGAGACTTTACTTCAGTGCCCCCTTCTCCCCCCTTTCCCCCTCCCCAAAGACCACTCACATGTAAGACTAGTCGATCAGGAACGGGCGGAAGTGGGTAGCATTGAGTCTGTATCAATGCTGGGAATGCCGACTTGTTGATGAAGACCGAGGATCGCAAACAAAGCCTACTGACGTCACATCAGAAAGATTCGTTTCCCATTCGTAACTGTCTATGTCAGCTGATATCGCTCCTGGAGAAGGCCTATTTTTACTGTATAGTCTCTCTGTGAGGCTGCCTACTGGTTTTTATTTGGTTCTCTCCTCCTGTCGACAAGAATATGTGTGTGGTGCGAGATAAAGACCGATATAATCTCTGTCACATGAACTCGCGGGTCGTTCCTTGGTTTGCCCCTCAGACACTATGAACTTCGTGTTGAACCGACTTACTAGATATTGCTTTGAAACATGCGCCGGCAATTTGGCGACTTGGCATAAAGGGGAATTATGGGGAATGGAAGAGCTGAATACTTAACCGTCTTGACAAAGTCCAGATATAACCCTGAAAGTATGTAGTCTGGCACATGATACCGCGAACTTCTCGTGTTTTTCTTGATCACAAGCTTTCTCTTCCCGGATTAGGGTCATGCTGACATTAAACTAGCTACCCCTAAAGTTAGTTCAAACGAAAATAGTTCACATTGCGGCAAGACAAGAAAGGATAACACGAAGATAGCCTTACATCTTTTTGCCCTCAGATTTCTTAATGAGCTTGTTAAAGAAGAGGGTAATCTTACCGATAGCATCTTGACAAAGCGATATCAACAGAGGCGTCCTTCGTAGTGTATCTACAGAGCCAAACTTTGTTTCACCGTCTTTCTGCCGAACCTTGAACTATTTGAAGCCACTCTCAAGGGCTTCGATGACTCATAAGTGTTTCCATCATCGAGGTACATTTCATCTAACGAGACTGAGAACTTGCGGAAGAAGTCGTTCCACGACATACAAAACGTGGGACAACAATCTATAGAACATATTGATGGCACAGCACAAAATAATCCAGTTCTTCATAAAGCCGAGAATCAGTCTTGCCACAATGGCCTTTTTCGATAAACGCGTCCACTCTCTTCGGCAGCGGTCTGAGAAAGATAGCCAGCCCCTTCCAAAGTTTACACTCGGGGCCATCAACAGGGATGGTGTGTTTACAGCAATATCCTTTTTTTATTTCTGTGTATGCTCTTGCTAATCCTACGTGACCTAGGCTCCTTCCATTATGCTAAGGCTTTTGGAGATGAAGTTGACAAACCTCACGGCACCAATTCTGTGCATTGGCTCGCCTCTGTCATCAAGTTCATCACTACCATTGCTGTAATGCAGTGCGTCGAGAAGGGACAGTTAGACTTAGATGGTGATATAGCAAAAGTGTTACCAGAGTTCAAAGATCCGCAGATCTTGACGGGCTTTAATGAAAAGAATGAAGCTATCTTCAAGCCCTCCACAAAGCCTGTTACCCTTCGGCAAGTGATGCTCCTGTTTAACTAAGGCTGGCAAATTTTACTGGCATAAGATGGTAATTAGGCACCTATTGACTCACTCCAGCGGCATTGCTTATGTGTTCATGAATCCGCTTCTGATTCGCTACCAAGAGTTGAAGAAACACCAACTTTAGCCAATCGATCTATCGTGAGCTGACTCCTTCCAATCGTTGAGATAACAGCTTACCGAAAGTTATAGGCACAGAAGTTTCCCCACCGATTTCTTGTGTTCGAACCCGGTGAGCGATGGGTTTACTCCCCTGGCCTTTACTGGGCTGGCCTCGCTGTAAGTTTGGAAATTTCTAATATGTCAGGCTTTAACTAATTCGCATCGCGAACTGTAAAGATCGAGCGAGCCACCTCCATGAAGCTTGGCGGGTTTATGTAACGCTATATCTTTGACCTCGTTTATGTTGAGGATGCCATCTTCCATCCCGAACTGCGAGAAGATCTGCAAGCTCGAAAGGCCAGAAACTGGGAGCGAGACAGCCAAAGCCTGAAAGAGCAGCCGAAGCCTGTTTATGCGGAGAATACCTTGCACGATTTTGGAGGAGGCGGCTCATTTGCAACTGTGGAGGATCTGCTCAAGATCTACCAGAGCGTCCTGATAGCGAAGCTACTACGACCCGAGACTGCTAAGGAGATGTTCCAGCCTCATCTGGAGAATATCGGGGGCCTCGATAAACCAGAGGAGTACTCGTCGTCCACCCGCAATGCTATCTGGAATACCGTCCCAGATGACGTCCCTCTTAACTTTAGGATTGGAGTTTGATAAATACAGATGCAGTGCCTAAACGACGTGGAGTAGATTCGCTTACCTGGTCGGGTCATGCGAATTGCTACTGCGTAGGTCCTTTTCCTGGTGAATGTGAACTCCGGCTCACTGTTTCGTTATAGTGGATCGACCTTAACAATGATGTCGCCGATCTATACCTTTCTCAACTTTTACCTACCGGAGATGAAAAGGCTATCGATATCCTGGCTGAGTTTGAGGAGTTTGTATACTCGAGTTTGGATAAGTCTTGATCGTGAGACCAAACGGGAAGGTACACCTCGTACTAAGGGCGATGCGGATATACGTAATATAATATCCCCCTATCTCCCTTTTGATCCAATCTTGTTATGTCTATCTTATAAGGTCCTTATATTCCATCGTATCTATCATCCGATGTTTCTGGCAGCGCCTTCAACCCTTCGCGGAGCCAGCGTATTACTTATAACCAAGCAGAGGAGATTTATGAATCTGCAAATCTTCAAATAATATATTGTATAGATGTACAATTCTATAACATGAAGTAAAATTCGGTCTTGTTTGATTCTACGAATATATCAATAGCTTACATGTGTTACACGTGATGCGGGGGTTTCTGTGACAGATAAGAATATTCATTTTGTTTTAATTTTGTTCACGGAACAGATTTTTTATTATTAATTATATTTCCTCCTCTCTTTGAACATCAGATAGCCAAGTTGCATCTGTATGCAATACTTCTTCACCTGATGCCAATCTAAGGGCAATCGAACGCACATCTACATCCCCAGAAACTGGTTCCTTCTCCTGTCCCGCAGGCACATCCGTCTTTTCCACCCCAGGTCTTACCTTTATAATTGAACTTTGGAATTGCTTGGGTAAATAATTGCGGAGGTTGAGCCCAGCCGTTTATCGAAACGGTCATGGGAGGGTTGGCAGATGTAACTGTCACAAATTGGTCAATATTAGGGCTTATAAGACCTCCTTTTTGAATGCATTTGTGATCGTAGATTCTGGCCTCAGAGGAAAAGTCTCCATTGAAATTTGTATATTCTTGCCACCCGAAGGTACACGTACCCGGGCCTTGAGTAACACAAAATTTGTTGTCGCGCTTCGTGAGAGCCTCTGTTGGAAGGGCGACGGCAAGTGTTCCTGCTAAAATTGGGAGGTATGTTGAAAGCTTCATAGCTTTTGTTTGATTTGTTTTCTTCTTTGGGTCTTGATTTGATTGTTTGAGAATTGTTCTTTTGTTTTGTATGAAGAAAGGAATCCAAACTTATGCACGCAGACCATACTAATTCTTATATGAAAACTTCTTACTGATGTTCTTACTACACAAAGACTTCCATCATAAAGGAAGTGGTTGATGAAGAAATCTTAACGACTATTTTTAGCCCAGTCATTACAAAAAGAAATCAGGAATGCCTCAAGGGCCGTCACACAGATCAAAGAAACGGAAACTGCAAGGTAGAACAATTAGTTGTGCTCAATCTTACCCAAAAAAGTTCTTTGTGAATTCTATTCTAAAGAATCCAGGTTAGCTAGCACAGGTGGCACGTTATTGTAAGGCAACGATCTGAATTTCCATTATATCTCTTGCATGCTTTGCACAAGCCCTAGATCTGACAAATATGTTCTCCCAATAACTCCATCCGACCTCCCCTTAACCCATCCCCGTTCCGCTTCAACAGGGGCATTCAAATGGACAAATCCATGCATACCTTGCTCCTTTATCGGGGAGATCGTTATACTTCAAAGTACATGCCTCTCTCTTATCGCCGTGGCCATTCTCTGATGGACCACGCTGGCGGCCTTTTGATATCTGCCCATCACTCTGATAGAGAGGCATGAGATACTCTGCATTTGTAGGTTCCCACTTCTGCTTGATGACTTCATTCAGTTTGACAATATTGCATGTTCTAAACTGATAACTCCAATTTGAAGTGGACGCTTGAATTGGAGCTTCGCCCGATTGCAGTATAACACAATTGGTGTCGATGATGAAGGATCTGGCACTGGCATTGTCACCGTTATCGTCACTGCTAAACTGATAGACGTAAGTGCAGGTCTTGTCGCCGAAAGCTAGTTGTTTTTGGGCGCAGAGTTGTGGTGTTGGTGTACTTGTTGGTGCTGGCTTGTGACCCGAGTGAGAACCGACTATTCTCAGAAGATCGGGGAGTGGGTCGGCATAAGAGACTAATGCTGAGATGGCTACGATAAATGCGACAGCGAGATACTTCATATTTGTTGATTTGAATGTTGTATTGGTAGTCAGTGTTGAGAAGTGTGGAACTGCGTGTGAAAATTATGTTGTTCGAATTCAGGTGATTGTTGAATTTTGGAAAAGGTTTCTGCGAAGTAGTTGATACAAGGAAGTATCGAAGATATTTATGATGAGGTTATTAAATGATATTATCAGTCTCTGTTAATTATCCTTAATAGTGATTCACTTGATTGAAATGATTCGTGGACGCAAGTATTGCAAGAAGTTTGAGTCATGTCAGTGACTGCCAGTCATAGGAGGCGTTTATGACTGTTCCTGTAAAATTCCATGAGTCTTGTTGAGTAATTTCGAAATTGTTTTTGATTCAGTATGATTGCACTCACAAACTCCGACTTCACGGTTTTAATCTTTCTACTCGACGGGGTAAACAATTCGCTAGATTTCAAGTTATTGTTATGTTTACAGTTCATATATTTCCAGGCAATTCTTCTCTCTGGTACCGTCCAACGCATCCACCACAAAGCTCTCCATCAATATCTAACATTTCATATTGCTGTCACTCCGATCATGTAGCCTTAGTGCGGTTTGCGTCAGATGGAGCAATCCACCATTTCGCTTTCGGTCCCTCGCACGCAAAGGTACAACTATGTACATTGTAATAAACTCCGTCGTATTTCATAGTTTGAAACCCGCAATGCTCACCACCCTCAGTATTCACTCCATATGTGAACTCCGGATGCTTGTTTGCATCTTCTCCGAATATCGAGAAATTGGAAAGTAGCTTTGGCGATGTGAGATTAATGGGATACTTCCCCATGCTGTGTTGTGTGATGTTGGGTTTTGAAATGAAGGTGCAATTTTTGTTGAATACTCTGGCGCGGACCGGTGGATATGGGAGTCCTTTCGAGGCGTTTTGCCACATCATTACTAGACTGCAGGTGCATCCGTTACTGTTGCAGAGGGGACTTATATCTGGAGGACGTACGCCTTTGGCTTGGCAAAAGAAGAGGATGATTGCGAAAAGTGTGATGATGGGGAAATGCATGATGATGTGAATCTGGGAGTTGTCTTTGTGTTGCGATTTCATACGCTACGATACGTAGAGTTCCGTGATCTGTCGAAAACTTTGTGGTACAATAGTGTTGATGTTTTTCGAGGAAAGGTCTCGAGAGTAGTGAGCTCAGCCCCATATTGAAATGGTCAAGCTAAGTGCCAGACATAGTGTATCAAAGGGCTCGAGTCATCATTATGACTGCTTTTAGAACCTCACTACAGTCATGATTCACTAAATGACTCTATTGGTAGAGAGGGGAGTCATTTCTCATTCATGCTCATCTATCTAAATCACTCCCCTTGAGCAATGATCAGTCACTACATGGGAGACAGTCACCATTTCTGATCCGCAATATTTGATGTTTTTCAAAGTCACGTATTTGTTATTCTATCTGTCCAGCAGATACAATGCCCATCATATCTATAACCATTCCATATTACCACCAATCAAATCCAGCTCTCTCAGTATCTCTTGGGGATGTTGAAACACTGAGAAAAGTCCATCCCCGGTCAGTCGTCAAAGAGAAATAAACAATTGTATGAAGACCAATCAGGTCCAGTTTTCCATCCGCAATGCTCCCTACCATATTCTCCATTATTATACGTGAATTCGGGTCTAAAATAGTTATCACTCCCAGTAATGATCAAATCACTAGGATTTTTTCCCTCCATTTTAACAGTGATTGCTCCGTTGGGGTCGGGTTGTTCCATAGAAGTTTTAACAATATTGCAGTCTTTGTCGACAATCTCGAGATCCTTGGGTTGCCTCATAAGGGTCTTCGCGAAATCCGTCATGTCGGCTTTAGGATCCACATCCCAGCGCATGTATAAGCTCCAGCAATTCACTGGAGCCGTGCAGTTTTCAGCTTTAGCTCGTGGATCAAGTTGATTGACGGGTCCGCTTGCTACGAGAGAGGCGAGGAGGGAGACGGTAAGAAGTGTAGTCGCGAGGAAATGCATGATTTCAGTATTTGATGTAGAGGTTTGTTTCTTTTGGGGGAGTCTGTATGTCTTTAGTAACTACACTTTATTGTTTAACAGGCTTTACTTACCAAGCCTTGTTCCTGTGAAGATGTTTCGAAAGTTGGTTGTGATTTTCTTTAAGATGTTGGAATGTATGAAATGTTTTGTGTTTATTCTGCGTTTTGAAATGGTCAAGCTGGGGATTTGGAACCCTTTTTGTTATTGATGTCCCACTCTAAGCGAACAGTTATTGGCAAGGGTCTTTGAGTGTAGATTTCATTGTATGACAATTATTATGAGTAAACTATAGCAGTTACTCCTTACAATTAAGTACAGTCATCGGTGTTAACCAGAAATACTCATACTGGGCTTTGAATTATCATTATCGATGGGCGATGACTTGAGAACTGTTGCAACAGTTTCTTAAGATATTTTGTTCCAGATCAGATATGATATATGTAATAAGAACAAGACTGGAAATTGACAGCCAATGATTATATTATCCTGTGCCTTTACGATTCAATAGAGCTAGTTTTGACCCTCAACTCTGGAGCGGTGCCGATGGAACTGCCATTGAGTCAGGACAAGGGATCGCATCCAGTCAATCATTCGGACTCACACTTCGGAGAATCACTGCATTTCGAATAAGGAAATTCGTCATACTCGTTGCAATTATCTAGTCATACTTGATCCGCCTCTTGAACAAAACCTGATTGATATCCAACTCGACCAATTCAAAATCTTGCAACCACAAAACTCATACATCTCGAATCTTCAACAATTCTACAAGCTGAATTTCGAGTATTACTGCACATATCATTGAACAATACAACCTTCGGTAAGTAAGACCTACAATAAAGAAGGTGGAGTTATTAACTAGCTACTTAGATTACTTCCCTCAAAACCTCATTTTTAATACGACAATCATGCAACTCTTCACCACAACCTTTTTCGCCATCCTCACCATCCTCATATCCATTGTCAATGGCATTAAAGGAAACGATAAATGCCTCGGTGGCAATAAATGTACCTTATACATGAAATGGTCGGCAGGCTCACCCGGCCTCAAATCCGGCACTATGGCAATGCCCAAAGATCTCATACTCTCCGGAAAAGATTGTAACGTCATTGAATCAAAAATGACACAAGCCGAAGCGAAAGGCCCAATCGAAATCAAATCTTCTTTACCCGAAACCATAACTCTTACTGGGCAGACTGCTGTTTTTCTCATGCCTCTCTTCACATATGGCAAGAATAAAGAAGGTGGGGAGAATCATTGCGGACAAGGCACGGACATGTGGATCTGTCACTTTCCATGTTAGGGGGTGGATTAAAGTGACCTGTTGGACTGATCCTGTCGATCATTCGACAAGGAGAAGAGTGAATAACTGGGTTGGGCGGTTTCTGTAGCGAAATGGGAGAGGGGACAATTTCTAGTTCATGATGAATGCTAGCACTGATCTGCTGAAATGATGGAATGGCAAATGCGAGACTTTTTAAAAAAAAGAGAGAAAACAATGCTTGACTTGCGAAACTAATCTCCAGAATCTTCACTCGAAGAGGTGATGCGGTGCCTGATTGAAGAGAAACTTACTTGCAATCTTTTCATGTCTGCCTGACACAAAAAATTGATAACTAAACATCATTATACTCCCTCAGCTTGTGGTAGACGTATGTAATAAGCTGAAAGAAAATGCTCCTTTCACCATACCAAAAAAGCACAACTCCTACACAACTCCTACCATAGCACCATACTAATCCCACCCCTGTACATCAACAGTCAATCCAACCCAAGCTACATTAAACGCACCATAACCCCTCCAAATCCATCACAAAAAATCCGCATCCCAAAGTCCCATCAGCCACCCCCTCGCACATAATTTCCCAGAACTGAAACCTAGATACGACTGAAATATCACGTGTCTCAAGCGTACACAGCTACGGCTGTAGTAAGATCTTACATTACACCAAAATCCCGCCGATAGGAGAATTTTCACGTCGCCACTTGTTTGAAAATTTCCGATGCTTGTGGTTTGAGAATAGATAAGAGTGAAGAAGGCCGAGCGAATAGGTCGTTTTATGCATAAGCGAAGTCGTGCGTCGGAAATTGGGATTGGTACTATCAAATACCGCTGTCACTTGGAAAATGCGGGATGCAATGTGGGTGTGTTGATCCCCGAATCTTTCATTTCGTTAGGAGAGAAAACCGGGGGGGGGGGGGGGGGGGGGGGGGGGGGGGGAGGTTTGCATGCACACAGAATATTTATATACGTATTTCCAAAATACGTCTTGTAGGTTGTATTGTGTACTGTGTTACATTTATTCGTGGAAAATTCCTTAAGCTGCTAGATAACACATACAGAACTTGAAGCAAAAAACATATAAAAATTAAGTATACATGGCCTAGTCCTTAGCTTACATATAAACTTTCTATTGCCTATCAATAACAAAAAAACTTGGATCGTGAATGTGTTGAGAACATGATCCTGGTATCGACATCAGTTAACAGAGTCACAAAACTCCATATAGCCTTTCTTCTCCCCAAGCTTATCATCAGCTATCGTTGTTCCCTTTGCATGGCAGGTCTCATTGATGTGTGTAGACATGGTATTGAGACTATTCTATGCCATTTGTTCCTTTGACTTTTCTCGCTCACTGGCTCCCGTGATCAAAGTGCTCAGATCGCCCACTGGGATTTGGAACGGAAAGTCTAGAGCCGCCAGCATGATAGCAAAAAAGATCCACCAACCCGCCAGTGATGTTACGAAAAGAGTCGCACCAGCCGCAATCTGCAATCGATTTGCCAACGCCATTTGAGTCGCATCGTTGTTGCCAATACTGTTTGCCGTGTGCCAATATACAGAAGTCAAAAGTGAGAAAGCAACAACCAATGTAAAAAATATAATAACAAAGACGACATTTGTGCGCAGAGAACACACCAGGTATATGAGACACAGGACCGCCATAAAAACAAGAAAGAATCCGAAAGAGGCGTTGAATCCAACTGTTTTCAGGCCATCGACAGGAGTACCGCCGGGAGGAGCGTAGAGCCCATATGCGTAGTAGAAAGGTTGAAGTGTGGAGGCGAACGTAAGCCAGAAAGCACCGAAAGAGATGAATACCACAAATGGGAAAGTGTTACCTATAACGAATTCGAGAAAAACCGCCGACAATCATGAGGAGTCCACCAAAGAAGAAATAGGAACCACTAAAGACTTGTTAGTGAATATTGAGACACATTGAATGAGAATTGAAACACGTACATTCCTGCCGCACCGTTGTTACCCGCCCCACGCCAGCCCATAAGATCACACGATAATGGTGATAAGGTAATTAGAAACCCAACTATCGCTCTACATGCTCAGTTAGCATGGAGAGATCTCAAGACTGTAAGGCATGAACCTACACCGGAGTAGGGTTTCCAAAAGTTTTTCTCAGGTCACCTTTCACGGCGTTTTGAGGAGAGAGATATATCTTTTCAAACAATTCCGGGCTGATACTGATGCTACCAGCAGTCTTGATTCTTTTTAATGCATCTTCCGAGCCAATTGACATGTCATTCATCTCATATGAATTGCTGCTATCTCCGTGATGATTGTTATTATGCGAGAAATCCTTTTCCTGTGGGACACCACTTGAGTTTGCCTGGGCTTTCTCCGTCGCCATTTTGCATGTAGTTCAAAATCACAGACAATAACTGATAAAGTAGAAGCTAATGACTGTTCATTGATGTAGGAAAGACAATGAGACGATATAGAAACAATTCGCGAACGTGGGAAGTCGGGCATTATGTACATATTCTGACAAGTACCAAGTTTTCCCGCAATCTTTGAGGATTTTGCCCTTGGTTCCCCAGACTTTGAAGATCAGCGCACAAGAAGAGCTCAAACTATAGAGCTCTTACGGACTTTTGGATAAGCTATCTAGGTCTGGCTTAGTGAGTGAACACCAAAGCCCTTGGGTTTGTTGAGTGGGAGGCAAGTCTAGAATAGATGTTTTGAGCTAGAATATAGCTAGTATGGGAACATCCAACGTACAAGCGCTGAGATCCATATTAGTACAGCAACTTGCTTCTACCACACATCCGAAGAAGGACATATTCCTCTGGATTGTATCAAACATCTGATTGCCACCTAGTCCGGCTGTGTTAACTGTGGGCTTTTCATTTTCCTTTAGTGATTAACAAAATAACGAGATAGTCGTGAGAGTTGTGCTGCCTCTTAAAAATTTCGTTTTACAAAGGAAAGTATGGCATGTGCGAATCGTCTCACTTTTGTTGATATGGTAGATTGAAACGTGGTACGATTTGCTTTCCAGTCAAGTTTAAGCACGTTTGGGGAACAAATAAACTTATGCCTTTGATACGATAAGTTTAAAGTCCGGGGAAAAACTCGGACCTTAACCTAGCTTTTGAGTCACCCGGGAAAGTAGGCGATTGACCATTTGTTCTCAAGGAAAGCGAATCAGGATACACGCTGCAGGGAATAATATTGACTGATACCACATATCATTTATGTCGGAAATTGGATCATCAAGGTGACAGAGATCGATACAAAGTTCCTCAATGTTTCCTCAAGGCTCGTGTTCTTGCCGAAGAAATAGCTCACGAGAGTTCTTATCATTGTTTCCAGAGAAATGCTGTCTTCAGTTTTCATGTGTCCGCAAGTCTTGTCATTGGCCAAACTTCCCAATATTTTACTAAAAATATCGAGTAATGTAGCATGGAGCGTTTTCACATCCAGTTTCTTTCTTGCTCGCATCAAGGTTCGAATTTCTCCTTTTTATCATTCTGAGGAGTTCATTCGATGCCACAGAATTTCCGAAAGCACACAATCATCAATACAATTTGTACCGGGGCTCGGAGTTGGGCACTTCCCACGAGCTGACAGCGGCAATCTGACAATTTTGATATGTAGTTTAGACTAGGAAATATCGCACGCCACTCCGAATATTCACATGAGGGGGACGAAACTTGGGCTGAACAGCCTACTTATGGCGTAGATCCAGTACACTATTCCTACTTGTAAGATAGGAACGACAAGCTGCCGCCTCCGTTAATTCAGACGGTTGTACCACGTCTTCATGATAAGAATGGCAATTGAACATACGAAATATTCAGACGGCCTTTGGGAATTAAGTAGTATACGTACGACAAGTGGCGGGGCTTGTCATACGTGAGCTGTGCTGTGTACTCTAATATGACCAAAATCGCCATATAATTTAGCCTCCCCAAATTTCACAATGGGTTTCCGGTCCATCATTCGAGACCTCAGATGAGATTGCCCCTTGACTCGATCCAGTACGATATGATAGATAATAAAAAAAGGTATGATTCGGCTTAAGAGTTATTGAATATCCGTCTGGCTTTTCGGAAAGTTGTGGTTTTTCAAGCATGTCTAGTATTAAAAGTTTGATGCGCGTGTTGATCAATTCAGGTGCCGCTTTGACAACGCGTTGTTCCATCTATTCAGCGAGTCTCGTGATCAGAACAAAACAGAGGCTTCTTTTATATTGTACTATTAATCGCCAATCAATGTGCTCTTTAGGAATATTTCTTCAAAGTTGATGATTTGACGTATAAGATAAAATAAAGAAAGAGCAACGCTGTAAGAGCGCGTCACGTGGAAGATCATCAATTTATCAACTATATCACATGGGTGCAATAATCCCTGATCAGACAACAGATCTTCATTCGAATAATTATGGGTATCCAAGCACTTCTCCTCAGGCCCATTTCCAAAGTCTAGAATCATTTAAACTGTATGATCTACTTGCAGAATATTGGGATTGGCCAGTACACTAGGAAATTTAAATATTGATGTCAATACGGAGCTGAAGAAGTGTTCGTGCTATATCGTAGAATTCCTACGTAGTAAAGCCTGGCGAGAAGTTTAAGTTTGATCTACTCTGAAGGTTTGACCTGCATATACGAATTTAACGCGAAAAAAAAGAGACAATAAAATCACTCGGCCGCTTCCCTAGTACTCCGCCGTCCCAACAGTTGAGATGATTACACCATTCTCAATCAAGACTATCTGATGGGCCTAACACTTCACAGACCATCCCTGTTACTCTCATCCCCGCTTCTCAATCTAAACTCCACCATTGGACCTTCATGCCAACTCACAAATCTGTCCCAAGTCTGGAACTCTTGCTTCCTCTCCCTGCCCCAACCCATTCCCTTCTTACCCTCCCCAAGTCCTACTCCCTCCTGAACACTCAATCTCATATCAAATTCCCAGATCAATCGTGCCAATACCACTCCCATCTCCTGATACGCTAGATATTTACCTATGCAGCTTGTTCTCCCGGTGCCAAATGGGGTGAATGCTTTCGGTTCAAAGACTTTGGAGTCTCGGGTATTTCCTTTTGATGACTCATTTTCACCCTCTCCATCAAGCCAACGCTCAGGCCTATAAACGAACGGATCTTCGAAATACCTTTCCTCGTGATGAATACTGTAGGCGGAGACCCCAACTGTAACTCCAGCTGGAATGGCGCAACCATCGATGACAGCTCCGCCTTTCATTACCTCCCTTGGTATATTGGCCCCAACACCGGGTGAAAGTCGCATGGCCTCGTCAATACACGCCGTAAGATATTTGTAGTCGTTCAGTTTTCCCCCAACTTTGATTTCACTTACCTTAGCCCATCTCTCTCTAATTTCCCTTTTCAATCGTTCATAGACGAGTGGGTAGTGAAGAAGATAAAAGATGGTTGCCGTTAGCCCTGTTGCAGTGGTATCCATACCGGCTATTATCAAGATACCGGCTTCAGAAATCAATTGTTCTTGAGTGTAGGTCTGTCCACCCTCTTGATCCTGTGTAGCAAGAATGGCAGAGAAGATATCTTTGTTAGCTAAATCATCTCTGTGATTTATCCGCCAATCTGTCTGAGATTTGCTGAGAGCGAAAAGCTTCTTGGCACCGTGCATGAAAGATGGTGGGATCAATTTGAATAAACCGAGCTTCTCAATTGTACGCATATGCCCTAGCTGTTGTTCGCCAAATTATTAGTATCTGTCTGGTTTCGGTAGCCGAAGGGTCATTTTACCGTGTTCATTGCAAGAGCCGAATCAGACATGAGACCAACCATATGATGATTTTCCTCATCATTTAACATACCCCAATTACGACTGAAAGTTACATCACCCATAATGTCTGCTTGTAGGTATGTCAAAGCTTTTGAAATATCGTGAGCGTGTGTCCATTCGCCCACTGACACCAGCCCATCTTTGCCTTCTCGAAGATATTCGGAGAAGCGTTGAGTGTTTTGATAGATCAAATTCTGTAGCTCTTGCACCGCCTGCGGATTCAGAGCTTTAACCAGAATACGTCTCTTTAGTGCGTGAATCTTCTTGTCGATAGTGGTGAGGATAGATGGAACTTTGAAAAAATAGTGATATATTGTATAAAAGTCAGACTTCTGCGTGTTGGAGACAGAGCTATATATATCTTGAAGAGCGCTTGTGCTATTGAAAGATAATCGATTCGGTCCAATTCGTACAATCGGTCCTGGGAATATCGTTAATGGTTAGTTTCAGAGTGTCCAGCAGTACGGATTAGCGGACTAGATGCGAGTTTTCAAGATCTGAAAATGATTCAGGCAATAATCTTATTGTAGCCCGGTCCGTATTATTGAAAGTAGTATATTGCTTACCATAGATTTGATGGAGACGATATTCATTCAAATGACGGTCGCCCTTAAGACAATGATGAACATTGTACCAGTCGGTAATGGAAGCCAAAGTCGGACCAGGATATGCCGCCAAAGGATGAAAATACAGGCGATAGAGGACGAACCAATGGAGCACCAGCAATAACAACCACAACGAAGCGTGTGGTCCAAACCCGTTAAGATTAGCCTCTTTCATGAGTATTGAGAGACCCCTCAAGATCTTATAACCCACTACACATGTCGTCGGTCCGAGCAAGAATATTCTATGCAATTTCTGTGTTTTACGATCCACATGAATCCCCGGCAGTTTACTACTCTCCGTTATATAACTGTCTTTCGAATAGTCAGACAGCTTGATGAAACCAACTAGATTCGGAAAGTTATGTCGATTGAATAGATGGAATGAAGTTGAATGTTGAAAAAGTGAGAGCGAGGTCAAATTGATTACCCCGCACTTGTCCTTCTTGCGAAAATCTTCAGAAATGGAAGGTGTGGTTACATTTTGTCACATGCGTCGAAATGCTACACAAAACTCTCAACGGTCCCCCATATTATTGGATTATCGCGAATTTTATAGTTACATTGTATGACAAATTGGACACGCCGCAAATCAAAAGGACAAGTGACTTCAGACAAGGATTCAAACTCGTGATTGAGTAACATCTCAACATCATCCGTCCATACATAGTACATTATTCATCTTATAACGGCGTCAATAATCCTATGACTCTCAGAGAAAGGAAAGTTATTGGAATATTCGAATGTGTAATGCTGAGCAATGACTGGTACCAAGTATTCTTTTGCACCCTGGCAGGAACAAAACCAAAAGAAAGAGTATGATACATACACAACAATCTCGAAGTAATTCTCTTGCGGCACGTAATTTACGCTTGAGCAGCTTTATAAAAAAAAACCCCAATCCCAACCTATAAAAGCCATTAGCCATCTGCCGACTCCATGCTGTAAGCGATGCACATAATCGACCATCACCTTCCATCTGGCTCCATGTCTACTGTATCTTATCCTTGAAGATGATAAAGCATTATCGCGCCCAGTATTACTATTCATAGTATTATTCACACTGACTAACTCTTCAATCGCATAAACCTAATCAGATAACTTGTCAACGAGATGAAAGCCTAATGTGGCCATATCAGACCGGAATATTTGCCACTCCAGTGGATGACCCAGAGCTAATATGCTTCTCGGGTGTTATTAATGAATGCATCTTCCTTCACTAAAAGCTAGCAGACTGCAGAGGATGCGATTTCAGGCACCTCACACATTGAACAGATACCCCTATTTGAAAAAACAGATACGATCTATCCAGTTCATACCCAAGAACATATGGATCATTTCATTAAGATGTATGTGTCATGTTGAATTGATCTTCTGTAGACTTATGCTCTCCTGCTAGTCTCATCTAGGGATTTCGGAGTTACAGTAATGCTATCAACAACTGTTTTTTAGCCGTAATGCTTTTGCTGCGTCCACTAGGGAAAAAAAGGTGAAATGATCACCGGTCACTTGACTCCATGGCTGATCCCTCCACAAGACACAAGAATGCAAGAGTAAGGATGAATTGCAATTTGAAGCGCTTCACCCTGGAAGATAAGACATCTTTATCCATTCTAGACCGATCTGGGGTTTCTTTCTTGGAGTGGGGGCGAGAATTCAGGATCGAATTGCAGTACTCCACATATCAAAGTCGCGTATTTGTCGAATGCGAAATCGTGTTGGGAGCTGTCCTGCCACGATGAACATGTACATCGCCTTGGAAACATGTCGATCAAGACGTCGAAGTCTTAACGCAATCCTTTTGGGCGACCCCTTGATGAGATACAGGAGAGAAGACGCCGGATTTCCTGCCAGTGCAGATTGCAGTTTCTAGACGAATTTCTTTTGGTTCTATGTTATTTAGTAGACCCCCACGCTTTAGATGAGATTAAAAGTATTCAATAAACTTGGTTGCAAACTGGATTTAAATATAATCTTACCATATGAATGCAACATTGCAAACTTAGTCGGGGATCAAATGTCTTGCGTCGCTTGCAGCCTCGAACTTAAATTACTAGCATGTAGAAAGCATTGAAAGAAAAGAAAGAAAGAAATGTTGTCTGCCTTGTATGGAGCCCGAAGGAGCTGCATAAATTAATATGAAGAGTGGAAAATAGGCGCCAGGCTTGAGAAAGTGATGATCATACTCTTAAAGCCCCATGCGCCAATGCACAAGATCTCGCACGAGCAGTCCCAAAGGAACTCGCGTAGCATTTTCAAAGTGGATGTGGTTGAAGAAATGTTGGATTTGATCCGCGGAATGAAGATAAGAAAAAAGATAGATCACGCGTCTGATCTCCAAGAAAGGTCGACGCGTGTATCTCATCATTTCGCAAGGCCCGCCTGAAAGAGGTTGAGTTGAGAACCGTTTGCAGGATGCCATGGCCACACCGTCTGTGGCATACATGGTGAGCAGCTATACGGACGTAGTGTATGACTTGTCTTTATCTGTAAGCTTTTATTCGTTGAGAATTGCTTGAGATCTTTCGGTACATATCCCACTCTTCTAGAGATGATGGTTTTAAAAACATCTTGTAAGGCCATGTGGAATGGAAGTGAAAATAGAATTCCGCATATGGAGTATTTCACCGGGGAAGTTACCCGTAGCAAAAGTGTCTAGTGCTGACATGCCATCCTGCTGTTCATTTCCAATTCGCAAACTCAGGTCCTTTTGATCCATGTGCAGATCGGAAGCACTTTATTTGGATATCCCACTTATCATGATTTGTTGCCTCAGATAAAAGGAGTATAGCCCAAAATATAGTAACATTCGAGATTTTAGATTTTGTTAAGAGAGGAAAGAGTGTGGGAGAGAAATGTGAAAAAAAGAAAAGAAAAAAAAAAGGATACAGTAGAATAAATCTCCAAAACGACACCTGAGTGATTCGAACACTCGCTCCCGAAGGAAATGCCTGACTCTGGATCACTCAGTAGCAGGGCATCGCGTTAACCACTCCGCCAAAGTGCCTAATCATGTGACAATGTCCGCATAAAATCAAGATATATTGAAAAATTGATTGGGCACCCGAAAAACAAAGAGCTCATTTCTCTTGTGCAAGGCTGTGAGGAATGACAACTTCACGTAAATTCCTAAGATGATGATTTTGACCATTTTTGGAAGGTACAATCGACGTGTCTTTCATTACCTCCTACCTTGGTATGACGCGCCATACCTTGAAGCTGAAAGACTATTCCTAACAACCGAAGTTCTACCGAATGTCATAATTTCAGACATTCAACTACATACCGAGCTACCAAAGGGAACCTGAACGCACGAAATATTCTCTAACGCACCATATCGCGCACGCATGAATCCGTAGATCCTATGAAGACCACGATCGCAATGTAGTCGCAGTATTTGAGTACTGTCGACTTTGTATAAGCAATGGCGCGGTTGTAGAGATCATCACCCGCAAATATTACACAAAATTGAAGCGCTTCGGCGTCCTAATTCCAACAGAACGCGCGATCCCCCATCCAGATAGACCTTTTCCATGCGTTCAAAGGGTCGAAGTAACATCTTTGAGTGTGCAAGTTTCCCACTGGGTAGTTGGATGAACACAAAATAAACGCAAGATACAATCTGCCTTGTTCGCAGCCATTTGTATCCGTCGTCTTAAGCGCCAGCAATATGCGAAATCATGTCCGGATCCTTTAAAGAAAAGAATGGAAAGTTCCAACACAGACCATCAGGTGTTCCCTGAGTCCCCTGCCAATCTTGTTCCGCAATAGCCACATTACCATGCTGCCATGTGTTATCTGGAACATGCCTGGAATATTTCTGTATGTTGAATAGGTGGGGGTTAATTTTCAATATGATGATCAGAAGGTGTGAGAAGTTATGAGGCACGATCTATTGAGGCTTATGAAAAGCACAGGATCCATTCCTACTTCACACGCAAGGGCAGAGGCCCAAGATGCCAAGATATTACTATGCTTTTGAGTGTGAGCTTGAGCTTAAGCTTAAAATTGGTGCTAATAAGCTTACCTCAAACTCATTTGGAGCCCGTCTGATACAATCATTGTAAGTATATTCCCACTATCATGACTTAAGTGGGGCTATACAATTTCTGGGGTTCGTCCGCGTCGACTACCATGTTCTAGGAGTTTTATTATCCAAGATTAATTATGGAGGCTCAAGCAAAGATGGGCATCGGCAGGATTTTGATACGGGTCTACCTGGTCTTGTACCGTCGACCAGGTTGAATCTTTTTGAAGGGAGACAACCACATTCAAAACGTTTATTACCCAACTCGCCTTTAGTGGAGATTGCTTTTTCACGTCTCTATAGTTCTGGCCTGTCTTAACTTAATTACCTTGCTCGATTTAAAGTTTGTGACTATTCCAACCACACTTCTTCAAACATGATAAACTTCGGAACAACACTACTTGAAATGGAACTGCCTCGAACTTCCCACTGGACCCAATCATCAAATTCTATTGTCCACTTTCAACCCAGATCATATACACCAAAGATGTCGCTAAGCCCTCCTGGAAGTCCAAGTAGTGTGGAGTCTGGTGGTATTAGACGATATCGCAGGACTACGGCTTGTACAACATGCCGCGACAGAAGAGTTGGTTTTTACTTCTCGGTCCATACTTATACAATGTACTGATTCGACAACTCTAGGTAAAATGTAGCCGCGACAGGCCATCCTGCAACCAATGTAAGAAGGGGGGACGACTTTGTAAATACTTGAACAGCGAAATACCCGAATTTGAGTTTATTGAGGTGAATGTATCAAGGAGTCCGGCTAGGAAATCGCCATCGCCAGTTATGTCAAATCCAATCACCGAAAGGAAATCCGGTATCAAGTCAAAAGCAAGTAGTCGATCGGTGGCTAAAGCGTCCCAAATACCATCATCTCGATTTCCCCCAAAGACGCTGGCGAATAATATCGATACTCAATTCCATCAACCCATCAAAAATACAGCGATTCCCCTTGGGGCACTCGGCGAAGATTTCGTTTCCTGTTTTCGGACGAAAGTTCCAGCGCGAGAAGTTTGTGATCATTTCTTGAACAACTTCATAGGACTACAATCTGCAGTGCCAATATGTCATATTGATACTCTTATAGATGAGTATACAAGTTTCTGGGCCAACCTTTCTCCTAAGACCTCGGTTGAATCTACCTTACTCATCTTAGCTGTCCTATATTGTGGGGCTGCCAATTCTACCATAAATATTTCACAATCAACAACATTACACGATCTATACGAACAGCTATTAGATATAGTTAATCTTCCAACATATCATTGCACACGCCGAGGGTCATCTGCGATCCAGCTTCTGCAGGCTTACCTTCTTGTAAACACATTTCAAGCTAGCACATCGTCCTCACAATTCCGGTATGGATTTTTACCCCACGCAATTAGACTCGCTCAATCATTACAACTCCAATACGACAAACCATATCAAAGTAATGGTGTCCAAGCTGAAGTTGAGAAGAGAATCTGGTGGCATTTGTTGTTTTTAGATCTCCAGTCGACTATCACGACTGGCGCACCTTCGCTGATAACTAGAAATGGATACACAAACGATGTTTCGTTACCCATGGTGTTGAATCATGCCTCTAGTCAAGATTCAGCTTCACCGATGATGATCGCCTTTTACGGCCAGTGCCAGTGGGTGCGTTGTATGCGCGAATGGGTCATGAAGATGCCAACGCAGGGAGATGCGGTTCATCTCGTCGAAAGCATCGAAAATCTACTGGAATTATTACCGGGAGCAAAAGCAGAAAACTTGGGACCGCAGGCGTACCTGAAGTTATTGATTGATAGTGCATATTGCCTTCTCGGCTTGAACTTCTGTCAAGCAAAACAGTTGCAGGACATTGGGTGGCGAAGTGATATTGTCCGGTTTGTTATCACCAAATTCGACAGTCCTACTCTTTATCACTAATATGTCCAATACAGGGCTGCAAGTTCGTTCCTGCAAAACTACCTTTCTCTATCCGATACGACCTCCATAACACCATTGAAGTGCATTCTTCCTGGTCTCATACAGCCTCACCACGCTGTCTTTATCCTCCTCATGCACCTTAGTTTGTGCACTTTTTTGGATTCAAATGCTCAATCACTGAAAATTCTTGTGGACAAAGTCTTTAATGCCGAAATATCTAGCCCCAGACTTGGTGCCAGTTGTACCGCTTCTAGATCGCCCAAATTCATACACTCTAGCCCTACTTCTCGGATCTCGCGCAAGTCATATGGTTACCCTCGTCAAGATGTCCTCATCCTACTCTATAGAAAAGTACAAGCTAAACTTGGCCGGAACACACCAAAATTCACAGCCGTGTCTTGCTCTGCTTCTCCCAATATCGGGGTTTTACCCCAGCTTGAAGGCTTGGTCTCGCGAGACGCAAATAGCAACATTGTTTCCAGTGAGAATTCCGCAAGTGGACATGCAGGAACTAAATGGATGGAATTGTCCATGGAGATGAACACTGAGGACTATATGATGGATAGAGAGTTGGATGATGTCTTTAGAGGCGGACGAGATGTATGGAACAAATGGGAAAGACTGATAGGTGCGGTTTTCAAGTGCTGAAAACCGGACGGTGGGAGATTTTGGTATGACGCAGAGCTTTTAATAACTAGCTTGTAACTTATGAAGTATCTTGGTATAATAGCAAAAACAGCATCTTCACAATTTGGCCATAAAAATGCTTGGTCTTCTCAGATGTATCTGGACTGATTTAAAGCATATCTCAGTCTAACTTTATTCTTGAACTCTATTATAAGTATAATATACTAAATCACTCACTAACTTCAAGTGAATAAGTGATATCACAACTGTATAATATGTTTGAAACATGATTTCATAAGATGAAACTATGTCATTGTATAGAAGTTAAATGATCTATCTCATTGAAGTGATTTAAGTGAAATGGAATGGAAGTATATGATACGTTACATTTATATTCACAGAGTCTGATTGAAATTATTCCCTCTTGTTCTATGAAATGTTTTTATAAGTAATGATTCAAATTAGTCTTATTCATAAGTATGAGACTACAAGACCTCGAAATAAATATACCTACCTAGGTTGGGGTACCGAGGTAGATATGGATCTTCTTTCAAAGACGAAAAAAAAAACGAAGCAGATGAGTCTAATTCGGTTGGCATACACTATTCTGACTTCAATACCTACTTTAACAATCATATATTCCATTTATTTCTCACCAGAACAACTAAAAGTCTCCCACTCTTACTGTTATAATCAATTATATTATTTGCTATGATCTAATCGTACCCTCCAAGATATTATAATTCAATTTAGACTGGAAGTATATGTACATAGATGATATTTATATTACCGCATTGACCTCAAACAAACGCACAATCGCAAAGTCAAAAGATTTAAACCTGTTCAGTGGACTCCTGAGTTTTAACACTCTTCCATTCCAGAAATAGAGAAGAAATAAACGCCAATCCAGTAACAGGAATCGCTGCGATAAAAACTTTCTGCAAAGCACCATTGTATACTTCCAATAGTGCAGGCAATTGATCCGCATCAACTACAGATCTGAAGCCAGTGGCACCAGCATCTAAAACTGCCTGGATATCGATTCCTGGTAGCTGTCCACTGTCATATGAGGATTTCAATTGGTTCTGAAGAATTGTATTTCCAACAGAAACAAAAACTGCGCCACCAAAAGACTGCGATGCAACCACCGCAGCGGTGCCGATAGGGATTTTCTCCAATGGCAAGACAGTTTGGACAGCGGTAAATCCTTGTTGGATTGCAATTCCGAAACCCGTCGCACTGAGAATTTCGTAGCCGATCCACTCAGCCGATGTGGTATCAGTTCTGAATGTGCCGATGAATCCACAGCCTATCGTAGCGATTGCTGTACCGATGATAGCGGGGTGGTGTGAAATATCCGGATTTGGAGACGAGAACACCGGCTACGAGTGAGAAGAAAGCATTGCAGAGGATATATGGAATCATGTCGACACCAGATGCAATGGCAGATGTATTCTTGATCGCTTGAAACCATTGAGGGAGATAATAGCCGTGAATGATCAAGGCTGAATAGAGGAAGAACGAGAAAAGGCAGCTTGCTAGTACGGTTCGTTGCTGGAGTATTTCAAGTGGGACCAAAGCTTTGTCGCCTCTGTACCAGAACCACAGTCCTAACAAAATCATGGTCACTCCGAAGCCGACGAGAAGGCCAATAACCATTGCGCTGGACCAAGAACTGCCCTAATGAATAGTCAATACCTAGTAGTTGTAGACCGCCAAACCACAAAAATGGAACTTACCTCTTCAGTATGTTGGAAAGCTATAAAAAGCATAACGCATGCACCGAGCAAAAGAATGTTTCCGAGGATGTCGAGATCCAGGACTCGTGAGCCGAACGATCGTTTTGTGACCGTGTTAATCTTCGGATTGAAGAACAAGATCATGGCCAAGATGGTTACACCGCCGACCGGAAGATTGAAATAGAAACACCATCTCCATGATACTTTGTCTGTGAACACCCCTCCCATTAATGGTCCCACTGTAGCTCCTAATCCGAACCTGCAATTGAATTAGTCTAGGGACGAGTAGCCAAGTTGCAATACTCACATCAAACCCACAGCCGCGGTGAAGACGGGACGTCTTTGTATCGGAACACTATGAGCCACCACAACAAAAGAACCAGTCAAAATACCCGCACTTCCAACTCCAGCGATTGCGCGCCCTATAATCAATGTGAGAGAATTCGGAGCTACACCACAAATCAATGATCCTATCTCAAATAGCGCATTTGCGCCTAGATATGACCATTTGATACTGAAAATAGTAAAGATCCTTCCATACATCGGTTGGAACGCGCATGCCGTAAGTAGGTATGCACTTCCATACCACCCCACGTCCGCGTATGAATGAAATTCTCCACTAATATAGGGAATCGCCTAGAAGTAATGTTAGTAATGCATGCAACGGCGGAAATGGGAATGTCAGGCATACAGTTGTAATAATTGTTCTATCCAAAGAAATCAAAAGCACCGACAAGCAAAGCCCGATCGTGAGAATCGTTAGAGCAAGAGTTCCAGGATACTCAATTTCTGCATCCAGTTCCTGTGGCTCTGGTGGCGCAACAGCTTCCTCGTTTTTCTCGTGTTTTTCGTTTTTTTGCGCGAGTCCCGAAAGCATCCAGATTATTGGTGGAGGCTAACGATATTGCGTTTACCTCTTTGGTTTCCCAATCCACCATCTCATCTATGTTCTTCATGAATTGATCACTCCACAATCCTGGTTTTCCGGGGTGTCTCTGCTCTTCCACAGGAGTGGATAATCGATGTGGTCGCTCATAGGTCCTACTTCTCTTGGCGCTAGACACGGATTCACCAAGCGTGCTTTGAGATGCTAGATGTCGAAGTGATGGAGCTGCAGATGCTATGATATCTGTGAACAGTTCATTGAGGGCGGCATTATTTCGGGGTGCTTTGTTCGGATCAATGTCCGAAGATTTTTCGTGTCCCACGAGATGTGGTGGGTTGTAATATCCGAGTATTTTCCTCGAGTGACGGTTTTTCCAACTCCATGATAGATTCAAATCCTGCATAATCAGAGCCTGCTTTCGTACTCTCCATGGTAGAGGGACGCGAAGCATTGCCGGACTTTTCTTTGAGGCTTTTAAATGAATCGTGGGAGACCCTTGGCTTATGTTCTTCTGGCTGTTGAGGACTTCGTTGAGAATTCAACCTCTCTGTCGGTATTTCCTTGTTGCGACCCCAACTGTGATTCTGCTTCTTCAAACGTACCTTCTGCGGGCTGAGGTTAGTTCCATCTTTGTTCGCTTCCACATTATCTTTAGAACCTTCTTGTCTACCAGATCCTGTATCTACTGCTTGTTGATTTTTATCAGTATCTGAATGATGAGGGAGTCCATTGGCCTCATTTAGAACCATTTGGTCTCCTCTGTCATCCGGAGTAGTTTCAGATGACGGTTGTACATGGAAAATTTGACGCGAAAAGTCAAGTTCTTCCACTAAATCTTTATTTGGTGCTGCATTTTCAATTGGAGAGCTCGCTTCACCGTCTGAACCATATTTGCATCTCCAGGGGATGCCTTCGTGGTATTTTTTGATATTAATGTCGATGTAAAGTTGTTTCAACTCCTTTGTTCACTACAATCCAAATTACGATGTGAGATATTGGGTATAGTTGATTACGTAGGTGAACCATTAGTTGCAGATACGGGATTGCCGATCAACAATATATACTATTGTAGATATGCGGGCTACGAACTAGTACAGATATCCGGCACCATTCGGGAGGAGAACTGGGTTTTTCGATGTAGATCTTTACCGGAGAAATTGGTCTGTGACATCTCAGCCAGCTAAACATTCTAGGTTATTTGAATCATGACCCGAATCTTCGATGGGCCGACGCTGTGACAAAAGCTTCTTTTGTACGTATGGACTGAGCTCCAATAGGCAAAAATTCATTCAACGTGTGAAGATGAAGTCATTTCAACACCATGTGACAAATGCGCTGCAATTGTTGTCTTATGTACGCGGCAGATTAAAAATTATAATATGTACAGACAGCAATGAAAACCTTATATCCAGAACACATGAGCGCTGGTAGCTCATAAGATTTGGTTTTTTCTTCAGCCCCGCCAATTGAGCAAGAGTAGATAAAACACCAACTAAGCCAGTACCATCAGTATGTCTTCCTAATGCCTCAGATTCACCAGTGAATGATGCCTCCAACTCCTGTTGGCTCTCTACAGACAAAGTGTCTGCAATTTTCTTTCCCCGCAATCTCTCTTCCTCGATCTTTGCATGTGTCCATTTTCCAAAGTTGCCTGATTTGATTTCTTCATTCAATTGCGCATCCATTTCATTATTCTGAAGATCATCCGGAAGTAGTCCAGAAGCCTTCATCATAAATTCAGGACTGATTGTTTTGCGACCTTGCTTGAAAACACATTTGCCAAGCGAGGATGCTACGACACCAGCTCTTGGATCCAATTCCTTGCGTTTTTCATCTTCTTCATCCGATTTCTGTTGTGGATAAAGGGTATATGACTTTGGTTTTGATGCATCCTTTCGAACAAAATGTGTGACAGTCCATATCCATTTTTCGTCCCACGATAGAATTCTTGTCCACATCTCATATGATTCGTAAGGCTTGAGTTCCTTCTTAAAATTGCAATTTACTGCTCCCAAAGCAATGCCGAAAACAGGTCCCTTCGATCCTGTGACTGCCTCTGTTCCACCTCTCATCTGTTCGATAGCTTCGGAGAATAGCGTACAAAACAAGTGTGTTCGAGCTACATCGGCATCTGAAAAGTAGGAACTGTTACTTTCTAAGGGGAGTCAGTGACTATGCACATGGAAAAACAATAGAATCCACAACTTACTGTGGAGATTCAAGTCAATCTCCATCAAGGGAGCATGTGACTCAGTGATCAAGGGCTGGAAAATTTGAATGTGGTCCACATTTTTACTTTTGGTCGCTGTGAGCGAAGACAGAATCGAAAGGCGTTGACGATACGTAAATGCCAAATTAATGGCAGAGTCTTGAAATTCCAATCGCTAGTAAGATGACGGCGAGCTTCCAAACTGTCATTGATGTATAAACATAATCTAAACATCTCAGAAGAATTTGTAAAGAGTACGTAACGATGGTCCAGAGAAGAGTTTTGCTTGGGAAGAAAGGTTGAGTTGTAAACCCGGTGTACAGGTGCGTGGTATGCGTACCACTGACTGTAAAGTTGTTCATTTTGAAGTCTGATAGTGAAAGAGGTGCTGACGATGAAGATGTCTGCGATGCAGAATATTATTCTAGAATATTTGACATGTGTAAAGAAAATGAGATCATAGAAAAGAGAAAGAAGAAATCATTTCTGTTTTTCTGTTACTGAAATGCTCGATTTCACCGCCATGGCTGCAAATGGCAAGAAGCTAGCCTGAACTTCTATTTATACATGTCGTAGATGGCGCTCAGATAGACCCAATATTTGTGAGATTTGTGATCTTTAAAGTTCACCAAAACTTCGTGAAAATTGGGCACCATGGCCTTCCATGCAGAGATCTTCTTCGCAATGTCTATTACCAAAATCAAAGATCTACCTTGCCAGGTTGATCTCAATACACACTAGTTAATCGAAGACGGCTGGGTGAGGATGCATCATTCCAGTTTCCTGCGGCTCTTGCATTAGCTTAAACTCCAATGCACTAGTGCTGATCTCCTCCGTTTCCCATTTGGGATCCCGCGTGAAACCACTATGTTTTTAATAGTATAAAGATCTACATAGAAAACCTGGACGTTGCCGAAAAAGTTAATCTATCAAAGGTCTGAATCGATTACTGGCTCGATAGCGGGTATAAAAAAGACTAAATTGACTACGGTGTAACCGACATTGGGCCGCCATACCTCTTTGGGGATCAAAAGACATTTTATTTGATTCATATACCCTTTCTGGGCTAGGGCGTTCCTCTGAGATCCACCGGCATGGTTGCTTTGATTTAGGGCTGACAAGATTGCGAAAGCTGGCGGTTCTTTAGAGTCAGTGCAAATGATTGTTGCCAAGACCTGTATCAACCGCTCGAGCATGTGGATATATATTCCCGGAACCAGGTAGAGGGTGTTAAAGCTAGCCTAAGAACTAGTTATTGTCAACTTGGACAATGATATTACCGCATTATCTAATCGGATTACAGAAAAGATTGTATTTCACATGTGACTATGATGCAAAATTCCAGAGATTAAAATTGTTTCTATTCTTACATTCGAAGCTCTCACAGGGAGAATATACATTATGCTACAAAATAAAACTTATCAAATACAAACTTCACCGTCTAATCCCCATTAGAGCTGCTTCTCGACTTTATTCCCCTAAACCCCTCCTGAAACGTGCCTTCTGAAAAGATCCCCAAAAGCCCAAGAAGAAAAGCTCCTCAGTCGATGGCTTTGTGGTTCAAAACTTCAGTATTTATGACTTTACTACAGTCTTAATGTCCTGGGCCTTGATGGCGGTTCTCTTCACTGTAGTCTTCTTGTATGTAGCAAGATAGAAAGAGATAAAGAGAAAGAGGTAGGAGCTCAAAATGGTACATCCAGCGAAAGCAGCAAATGGCTCACCAGCACATGTTCCGACGTGGGGGAGATGCTTGTAGTAGGCGCTAGCGTAGTAATTATATGTGGCAAACTGGAGAAAAGTCAGTAAGAATTTTGTTTCCTGATTTTGAGACTTACGTAAACTGCGAAAAGATCAATGACAAATTGGGTGATTTGCATGCGGGTGATCCATTCCTTCCAGGTGATGCGGATTCCACGTGCACTCTGGAAGTAGTACCAATACATCACAACGTGAACGGAAAGATTCAAAGTGATTGGGACCCAGGATACTGGAGTGTGTCCAACAAGTTGAGTATAGCACAAGAGAGCTGTTGCGGGGTGGTGATAGCAGTGAAGAAACGCTAGTAAATAATGAGCACTGCAAAAGTTTCAGGTTGAGTTATGACTTACTCAAAGGCTTCTTCTTGAGGAACAAGAAAACGGTATCAAGCAACTCCACATATTTGGTGATGTAGTTCAACTGTATGTCTTCATTAGTATGATCTTTTTTTCAAGTCTTGGGAATATGAACATACGTAGTAGAGAGTAACCAATGGCTTGGTCCATCCAGTTCCACCGCAGATACCATCAAACAAGCCATTTTTCCACAGACTTGGAATGAGCTGCTGCGCAAACAGAACAAGCAACGAACCGCTTACGACTGTCAACATCAAGTTATGTGCCATGAACAAACCATTCAGTTTATATGCTGGACGGTTCTTCATCCATGCTTGGCCACCGAAGATGATTACGTAGTAAAGAGCTATTGTAACAAGAGTTCCTTTCAACGTAGCCATTGGCGTCTTTCCTGGAATGAACTCAAAGTCTTCAGCAGGATATCCTGCGACCGACGTCCAGAGTTTATCGAAGGCTTCCCATGGGGAGAACTTGATGGCCCCATCCAGCGGCAAAAGAAGTGTACTGCTTGACATATTGGCTGATGCTGTCGCAACTCGTGAAAAAAGAATGTGTGAGATAAGAATGAGATTCAAGATGGGATTCTGATGTCAAAAAGAATTTTGTTATTTTAGGGGTTAACGATTATATCTTAAAGAATTTTGCTTCTTTCGAAGGATAGGGAGGAAGGTGCTAATCCTAGTTGAAATGCCGTTTCTCATACATCGAAAACTTTGAAAACTTCTATGGACTAGTGACGACGATCACAATCAAGGCTAGAATTTGTAGTACTGATGATCTGAGCCAAAAACTCGAGCTGAGTGATTGAGAGTTTGAAAACTACTTTCAGTTCCATGGGTCTGCAAAGTCTACTTCCTGGCTAACTTTCGCCATGAAGTGGAGCTTTGTCACTATGATGAATGACCGCTATCAGGGGCGACGGCAAGTGTAACGACAGATTTGGGGAAACAAATTAAGCTTCCGGACGTTTCAAGCATCGAATTATTGCAACCACTTGGCGTGCATAGAAATGATCGAATGGATGAATTTCTCCGAAGTACACGGACTAGCTCCGCATTGGTTATTAGTAAGGATCCATAAATGATGTGTCGTAGGGAGCTTTGTTGGGGACGTCTAAGTAAAGATAAGCTTTTTGCGGGTACCTTTCACCGATCTCGAATCTTGATGATCGCGCAATTACCCCTTCTGGTTGTCTGCTTCCCGCTCACGTTAAAATGCCTACTAGTGCTTGTAGATCAGCAACAACAGTGGGGATGATACTAATCCATTTCTCACAAGCGGGACGGCTGTTTCACGTTATTCTTTTCTCGAAAATTTTAAGTTTATTTTTTGAGTCAATTAGAATCATTTCGATAAACTCATATTAATAGAATGCTTCTTGCATATCTCCACAGAGAAGTCTCTGATCCACACTCTGCGAGATTCGATCACGCCGAGTAATTAGTTAAGACAGCAATTTTGGCGTGTCAAGCAAGGATGTTTACATACCGTGCTGGCATTGTTCGACCTGTTAGCCGGATATTTCGTTTACCGTCTATTGAAAGTTATTAGTAGTTGATACATTCTTGGGAATGCACTTCTGCAAGATGTGTGGAGAATTTTAGATAGATTCGATCGTAAATGTGTGATGACGATCAATGAGATCAACATTTTCGAGCATTCTGGCTAAAAAAACACCAAGTGTTGTTAAGATTACGATCCACAAGTATGGACGGTGAATAATTTCATTAGCATTTCCAATTCATTCATCAGTGTCATAATTCCGGTCTTTGTCTTGTCGTTTCCTTCTCAACTCAGTAACACTTTGCTTTGAGCAACGATATGGCTATCGAAGTATCTTTCGCCTCCCTTTCTGGGGCAGCGACATTGATTGCACTCCTGATATCAAAGAACTCCTCGTGGAGCACTATATACTCACTTCAAATTGTCTTTGGAGTCTTCATACCATCATATGTCTTTTACCTCAGTTACATTTTCCCATTCTATATTTCCGAGCTGCGACATGTTCCTACCGTCCCTGGTTTCCCTCTCTGGGGTCAATTCTTTGACATTATCAGCACTGAGATTGGTGTTCGACAGCGTGAATGGCATCAAACCCACGGCCCAATCATCAGATACTTCTTTCCCTTTGGAGCTGAACGTCTATCAGTCGTAGATGACGATGCAATCAAGCAGGTATGATAGATCAGTATAACTTTACTTCGTACAATCTTTAACATGAACTCGTAGATGACAACCAGAAATCCATACAACTATCCAAAGCCAGTGCGCGCGAAGTTGTGGATGGTCAGAATTCTTGGGGAAGGTGTACTACTTGCTGAGGGAGATGAGCACATCCATCAACGAAAGTCCTTAGCACCCGGTTTCTCTATCCAATCGATTCGAGCGCTCTACCCAGTATTCTGGCAGAAGTCATTGCTTCTCACCAAGCTGTGGAAGGAAGAAATGGACGCTGACTCGGTAAAAAGTAAGCCTTTTGAGGTTTTGGAATGGTTGAACCGCACTACTCTTGACATCATTGGTGCCGCTGGCTTTGGTGTTGATATCAACTCGCTCGAAAATCCCGAAGCTCCAATTCGTGAGGCCTACCGACTTGTCTTTGCTTTCGACATTGGCTCCCGTATCTTGCACGGTCTTCAAGCCTTTATTCCATCTACCAAGTACATTCCCGCCAAGATGAACCGTGATATGGAGAGTTCGCGAAAGATCATTCTCAAGACTGCAACAGATATCATTGACGAGAAGCAAGAACAAGCTGCTCAGAGAACTAACCATAAGGACATTATCGCATTGATTGCCAAGGACAACTTGAAGATGAAGGAAGCTGGTGAAGAAGGTTTATCTTTCGAGACTATGCGTGATCAAATCATGGTAAGCTGAAACCTCAAATAGCTCCTCGTAGTATTGCGGAAGACTAATATACATTGTCCACAGACTTTCCTTGGAGCAGGCCACGACACAACAGCAACAGGTTTGGCATGGACAATTCATCTTCTCTCAACTCATTCGGAAATTCAAGAGAAACTCAGAGCCGAGATCCGCGAGCACATGCCTTTCCTATTCGATCAAAAAGCCCGTTATGAAGGAAGTGTTGAAAAGACTGATGCGGATCTTCTACCATACCTCGACAATGTCTGCCGTGAATCTCTCCGCTTCATTCCACCCATTCCAATGACAGTCCGACAATCTCTCAAAGACGATAAATTGGGCCCATACACAGTTCCAGGTGGTACGGTCATCTATATTCTCGCAAACACTGTTAACCATCTTCCTATGTACTGGGGTCCCACAGCCAATGTTTTTGATCCTGATCGTTGGGACAAATTGCCTTCTACTTTCACGGCCAATGCTTTCATGACTTTCTTGCAAGGCCCCAGAGGTTGTATTGGACGCAAATTTGCAGAGACTGAGATGAAGGTTTTGATATGTTGTTTATTGAGCATGTACAAGTTTGAGCGTGATGAGAGCGTGGAGAATCCCGAAGACTTGAAGATGTGGAGATTGGTTTTGAGACCAAGAGACGGTCTTCAAGTCAAGGTTACTGCCATCTAAAGTTGTTTTATAACTGATACGATGTCAATGTCAGTCGGCATGAAGGAAAATTAGGAGATGGTACAGAATCATTTTAATTTTTACATAGATTTTTTCACAAAGACTCTTGCATGTAAGAGTTCTGGTCATATTTTACGTACCGTATCCTTTCTGTAATATAATTCTTACAAATACTTATTTTCTTATATAAATTGAAGTGCTGAATGCCCGCTCAAGAATTAAACCGATTCAACTGAAATTTAGATATGTAGAAGTGTCTCTGATCTCAATTTTGAAAACGACGCAAATATCTTGTCTTGACCTCGGATTGATTGTACTAAATCTAATGAGCAAATATGATTCTGCGTATCATCTGTCAACAATCTAATATTGATATGTTGGGAAGATTAAAGATTGGAGAGATGGAGGGTCTTGTGCTCATAACTCATCACACTCTCAGCGAAGACACAACAACTTTTACAGTAGTCTCGATACTGTCGAACAGACTTTAGAGGGTGTGCACACATGAATCATACATAGAAGTCAAAGCCGGACAGAAGTTATAGAGGGGCAGGAGTCAAAGAGGGGCTGCATCCATTCTGCCTGCCCTCTTCGTATGAGCAGGGAATATTAAATATAGTACCTCCATTCCACGTTATGTGGGACGCCATCACACGTCATCTAAGCACGAGAGCGGGAAAAGTGGGTTATAGATCCACCAGTCCGACAGCTACGCTTTGTTGAAGGATTGAGAGCACGGTTCTTCCCATCTTCAATAATAGAAGACAAAGTCGAGTGCCTAGCACATTCTGCCTATTTTGAAAAATGTTCCTATTTCTGCAAATTCGAAGACTTCGAATTTTTTCACTTTGCAATACAAGCAATTCACATGCTTGAACTCATTGGAAATTCTTCAAATCAAAAATTCAGGGCAATGGATAGAAGCAAATTTAGAAGGGTAAAAAGTATATATATTAGAATTAAAAATCTCCACAAAAATCATCTCGCCAAAAAGTTTTCTCCCCAAATTTCAACTATCATCTCAAAAGACATGCACGCTCAATTTCCTGCTACATATTTCCAAGGATCTTTGCATCATCCTCCCCCGCCCCAATGAAGCACGATCAATGTATAGCCGTGCCAGCTTATGCACTGGTGCTTCCCTCTCTGTTAACTGTAACCGGGTTGCAGACAGCGATTCCTACGCAGTCGAGATCAATAGGAATAAGAACCTGGGGGTCGACATCGATCAAAGAATTTCCATGGTTGTTTTGCACTTGCTCCGCGTGGTTGATGGTAGGGTGAAATCCGGTTTGTTGAATGTTGGCAGGGTCGACATCAGCGGTTTGGACATCGGCGGGTTGGACATCGGCGGTTTGGACATCGGCGGGTTGGGCATCACCGGGCTGAACAGTACCTGGGTGGACTGGAGCTGGGTGGACTGCAGCTGGGTGAACTGGAGTTGGGTGAATCACAACTGGTTGGACTGGAGCTGGCTGGATCTCAGTTGGGTGGGCTGGGGCCAATGGACCCTCTCCTGCTTGAGCAGCCTCGTATCCGGGGTTTCCTGCATGGCGAGGGATCATCTGTCGATCAATCTGTTAGAAACAATTTCTCAATAATTCGATTTGAAATTTTACTCACTTTGGCGGTATCCGCTGGGACTAATTGGCCTAAAGCGACAATCGATGAGTCCTTGCCGACGGGGAGAGCAATGCTGAAGTCCGCAAGGACAACGACGAGAGCAAGGGCAGAGATACGTGAGAATTGCATGTTTTCGGTTTGGGGTTTTGAGTAAACAAATTGGTTTGATGATTGATTGTGGTAGGTTGAATGAAGGAGTGGATAGTTTGCTAAATGAGTGTGATTGATGAATGAATGTGAAGTGTTTGATGGATTATTCGATTTCCAATGCAATGAGAATGAAGATATATACCACAATCCTGGCGACTGACCGATTATTCGACCAGGATTCCCGAGATCT